ACTAAAGCGAAAACAATAAAGGAAGACCTGGAAAGAAATAAAGCTTGAAACTCCAGACCTACCCGAACGGCGACGCGCTTTGACTAATACATAAATAAATTATGCAGCCTAAGCTTTTGGCAAAAGCTAGCATTACATATTTTTAACAATTAAAGAAAAAATATATATTAATTGATAACAAAATTCATATTTCTCTTAATAATTAATGCTGGAAGTTATCGGACTTCTACGATCAACCTGACGCGTGGTCAACAAAGAGCCGAGCGAAGCAAGGCTAAGTCGCTAGTATGCTATAATTGAAAGTGATGAATCTTTGTAGTAAATCTAAGGAACTCTCTCTACAAATTACAACTCTAACAAAGTACAAAATTTACACCACTTCTAGCTTAATTCAGATAATGAAATTAAGCAGTACGCCATTAAAAGTTAGAACGGACTCATCACTCGTGTAATTAATCTTTAAATTAATATAATATTGTTTGGATATGAACATATTGAGAATTCAATTAAAGTTACTTAGAATTAGTAGTAGATGACTGCTGAAACTAAGGGGATCTAACATTTTAAAGCCTTTTTAAGATATTCACCGTTTAAAGGTTGGAAAATATTAATTTTCATATAAAAGAAAGTAAACAGACAAAGTTCCGGACATATCGATAATAGAACATATTTTGGAAAATATTGATAACTCCTTACACATAAGTAGCTTAGGACTCCAATAGGAGATATTACAAATTTTAATTTTACCTTACAAATATCATAATTTTATTTACCAAAGTGCAAAATGTTCTGGAATAACGAAACGAATTTCTTTAATTACCATAAAACCTATGCTTAAAGTAGAAATCTTATTACTTTATAGTAAGCGAGCTCGTACATTTTATCTATAACTCACCGACGGAAGATTTATGAGGTGCTAAGTAGATAGGGACAAAATCAAGCTTTTATTAAATTCTTTTAAATATAGAATACGGGAGCTCCTCTTTTTTTAATGTGAGTACATACAGGTGGTTATGTGGGACTCACCGACTAGAAAAGTTAGTAGTACTGCCCACTAAAATCCAACAGTTTAGTGGTCCTTCCCCGTCTTAATGGGGCGTCGCAGGATTGTTAACGCACTCAACCTCATCGCACCGGTGGAAGGTCTGCCAAAGGAGATCACAATAACCAAGGAATTGCTCCCACGGTCCACTCTGCTATCAGAGAAGTAAAAGCAGCAACCCGCATCGTACACTGCCCACCGAAGTGGGCCACCTCCCAGCGCCTCTTGGCTTGGATTGGATCGCCGAATTTATCACACTATTTACTAAAATCCTTTAGGAGGATAATTGGTTTTCAGAACGACCTTAAGTACTATTTTGTGTTAAGTGATTAATATTTTAATATTGCTTTTTTTATATAAATATTTTGTTTTAATATATATTGATAAAAAGTTTTCAAGTCAAGTTTTTGATTGATTCTGTATATAGCGTTGGAATATGGTTATTATTTGTTTTTAAAATTAAATTAATAAGTATCGGATTATTTAGCGGATTTGTTTTGATTTTTGGTTCCCGAAGTTTCGAATGCTTTACAGCATCCATGGTCACGGGAGTATTCGAAACGTCGGGAACCAAAAATCAAAATAAATCCGCGAAATAATCCGAAAAGATAGTTTTATTTAAAAATGTCAAACATTCGCGTAAATCTAAGAAAGTATTAATAAATATCGTTTCGGCTATCATATCTTTCAATCACAAGCTTCTTCGACTAGATTGTACAATTAATGAAACCCATACATGTCAACATTTGTACTCATAAAACTACAAAACTAGTATAGCTTGTGTTCAATCAACTTTGGCGCACAATCGTTCATTTATCGGTCGCAATTCGTTTAAACGATTGTTCTGTTACGTCATAGAGGCTTTTAAAGTAAGTATATTACGCGTATCGAATTTTTATTGATTTATTTTAAATTTTCTACCTGTCTGATCACGTAGGCTTTGAAATTTATAAGGTTATTAGTGTCTGACAAAAATATATTGCGAATTAAGTATCCACTTATATAACGTCATAAGTAAATTCTTCTTGGTTATGAAAATCGTGATACTTTTTATTTACAAGCAACCTACTCTTATTCCACTCGGCTGTAAAATTCTATATTAACAATTATAATATACTAGCATTTCCCACGGCTCCACCCGCGTTCAAATGACCAAAACCCAAATACTTAGGTTTTAATTATTAGTATACTATTACATTTCAGTTTTTGTATTTTTTCTCAGAAATGAGACATTTTTCCACGGTGAAAAGTATCCTATATGTTGACCTGGATAATCAGCTATCACCATACCAAATTTCATCAAAATCCCTCCAGTGGTTTTTCTGTGATGATGTAACAGACAGATAGACAGACAGACAGTAATTCTAAAAACTATAGATTCGGCCTCTGTATCGATAATAATGTCTATTTCAATAAGATTTTCCAAACAATATTTAATGTACACATTCGGCTTAGTTACAATTTTATTATATGTATAGATTATTTACTAGTTAGACCTATTCTAGGCAGACTAATAGTTTCGAACTATCCGAATTCCGATAAAACTCGGGCGTTTCCTATGGTACGTTGATGTATGCTAGAAACAAAATGTAACAATTTATCAAAGTGCCATCGCAATTGCATGGATGTTCTAAGAATTCTTACACGAAAACAAACCTACATTTTTTATATGTATATTAGATATATATATATATATATATATATATATATATATAGTATATAGTATATAATATATATTTTTGGATTAAATTACATAAGAAGAAAGCTGTAGACTTAGTTTTGCCCGCGGTATTGCGCTCTTTCGAACTTCCATCAAGGACGACACACCAGCTGTATCTTTAAATCTTCGCAATCGATTGACGTCACTTCGTCGTTATTATACAACGTTCAGACTGTTTAAGTTGTTCAACAAAAGATTTAAAATTAACTTTAAAGAACTTTTTCTGAAGGCTTAATTAATTCTCGTTCAAGTGTAAAAATCGAATAATTATTTCAAGCGGCAGGTGACTCTTTAGGTAATCGAAAATGAATTTAAAAAAGCTCATGTCGACGGGCTAGCAAATTTTTTTAAATCATTTAAAGTTGTATTAATAAAAGCAAAGCATTTAAGATGGTTAGCACTCAACTTTTCAACCGACTTCAAAAAGGAGGAGGTTCTCAATTCGAATGTTTTTTTTATGTTTGTTACCTCAGAACTTCGTCATTTATTAACTGTTTTGGACAATTTTTGTTTTGTTTTTCTGATTCGAAAATATTTGATTAGGTATGTATTTAATAGGTAGGCTTTAATTACTTAGCCAAAGCACACCGACTTCGAAAATATTTGATTAGGTATGTATAGTAAATGAAAACTACCAATCAGTTATTTTTCACTTTTTAGTGCTTTTGTTTGAAGTCGGTTTTTATTTTTTTGTTAAAAAGTTTTTATTTTTCCCTTTTTAGTGTAGACAGTAGTAGCAAAGAAAGGATTCTAACGTGTTAGGCTTGTCAAATCAAACAAAATAAGCCCAAACTCAAAGTATCTACTATTAGCCGTTAAAGAGTTCCACCTATCCACCTTCTGGCCTTGCCATCAGATCAGGTCAACAACACCGAACCACTGTACTATCAACGGAAATAGAAACACTTGCAAATTTAAAGTTAATATGACAATTAGAAGTAGGTTAAATTCATCATTAGCTATTTTTCCACCCTTAGGGATGGTATGGGAACCAATCTGGAAGTATACCCTTTCAAACAACACAAAAATTGTCCAAATCGGTTAATAAATGACGGAGTTCTGAGGTAACAAACATAAAAAAAAATACAGTCGAATTGAGAACCTCCTCCTTTTTGAAGTCGGTTGAAAATAAAAGAGAAGTACTACAAAGAGACACAATATATTGTGGCAAAACTGCCAAATCAACAGGTTACTTCAAATCGCCATAGAATCTGTTCAATCAAAATCAAAGAAAGATTTTCCAATACTATTGTTACATTTTATTCCACACCCCGCAACGCACAAACGGTTTACGATACCACTAAGCCGTAAAGTATGGACCATTACATTGCATCTTAAACAGAAAATGGACATGCTATTTTAACCTTTATCACAATATAATATGGCATATTAATGTTTAAATTATTTTCTATTACTTTTGAATTTTAACTTAAAAGGATTTTGATGCTACTTGTTATTTATGTTCGTCGGATAGCAGTTAGTATGAAATATTAGAACTTTTAATACCTAATAAAACAAATTATTATAGGGCCATACAAAATTAATTGTAAAAAAGTAAACTTGGAAATCTGTGTGTGTCTAAATTAATAAATAAAAAACAAGCGCCTAGTGTCTATTAACTTCTATATATACAATAAAATTCTGAGTCGAATCTGTACATTAAATATTGTTTGAAAAATCTTATTGAAATAGTAATTATTATCGATACAGTGCAGAGGCCGAATCTATAATTTTTAGTATTTTTGCCTGTCTGTCATTCTGGGAACACATCACGAGAAAACTACTGAACCAATTTTTATGAAATTTGGTATGATAATAGCTGGTTGGATAACCGGGTCAACATGTAGGATACTTTTCACTGCGGGAAAATATCTGAGAAAAATCTCTGAGAAATCTAAGTAAGAAGTAAGTGAGGATGAGTCGTTAGTCTATATATATATATATATATATATGTGTGTGTGTGTGTATGTGTGTGTATAATTTTTAAGTAGTTTCCATATATTGAGCTAATATGATTATTAATACATACACCCTGACCGAGCACTTACCTTTTTGATGTGGGTAAAAAATATTTAATTTTAAATACCTACTCGTTTTAAAGTCAGCTAATATATCTAGCAATAATAATATTAAAAGCTACATATACCTACTCATGAAAGAGTCTTACTATACAAAAAAGTAATAAATTATTACTATAAAGGAGGATATTCAGAAGGAAAGCTGTTTAATCTTTAGCTGATGTTCCTAAGCTTAATGCCTTATTGGATATCCCGTAAGTAAATTCCAGTGCGTATAAGTGTCACCTTGCAAGATTAATTGTAGAATCTGACCCGTTATCAATTACCCAATTTGACCGCACTCATTTACTTGGGCTGCTCTATTTCCGTATCTATATAATTAAGGGTAGCTCCACACTATATTCCCGATTACAGTCCGTTTTTGGTCCGGTATTGGTCTGGTAAAGTATTTTTATACAAGAAACAATGAATGCATTCACACCATCAGTAAGAGTCAAGTTCTGGTGGAATCACACTTTAGCAACGTGGCACTATAGTGTGAAATGATCCTAAAGCGGTTACTTGTACTGACTCGAAGGTTTAGAGAGTAGTATGTATCCCGGGCATAGTGACATCCAGTCCAGGGGTAGGATATGATCCTAAGTGACGATGGCTTATTTTTATTTCACTAAAATTACTTATAGGATATGTTTCTGTTATTACGCGAACATTACCGTAGGTACCTATACGTTTTAATATATATTATATATTAGCAAAATTATTTTTAGTCTTTAGCTAAGTCATTATTTATCATAGAATTTACTGTCCCATAAGAAATTATAATATTTTTTTTTTTTCAAATCAAATCAAAATATTTTTTTTCATATAAACTTTTACAATCTCTTTTGAATCGTCATTTTTACATTTTAAATTTAAATTAAATGTCAGTGTAGTCAGTCCGTGAGGAATCTACCATTTCATTATTGGGATACTGGATAGAACATTGTACCTATAATCTTATATATAAAATTTCCATGTCACAATGTTAGTTACCGTACTCCTCCGAAACGGCTTTACCGATTTTTACCAAATTTTATATGCGTATTCAGTAGGTTTGAGAATCGGCTACTATCTATTTTCCATACCCCTAAGTGATAAGGATAAGGGTGGTCCTCCCAGACCCCACTCCAGGGACGAACCCGAGCGGAGCGAGGGTGAGTCGCTAGTGTATAGATAATAATGTCATTAGTACATTTCTACGAACTATTACAAAACTGCGTAACATTACTATAAATTTATTGTACTACCTACTTTTTAAATCTTTTTATCTCGAATTTATTTAACGCCAAAGTGTTATGAATAGCCTTATTCATAAATAGGTAAATTAATAAATATATTTCCACTCTTGGCGTTCTTGTGACATATCCCCAAGGCATTTAGAATCCTTGAGGGTAATTTGCAAATAAGATACGCATTTCTTAATCAAATTTTGATATATGATGTTATACCACTCTTGATTATATTTATTTATAAAGTAATATGAAATGGAATTGGTAAACCGACATCCATACTAATATTATAAATATGAAAGTGTGTTTGTTCATTTGTTTGATTGTTTGTTTGTCTTACTTTCACGTTGAAACGAAGTGATGGATTGACGTAATTTTTTGTGTGAAGATAGTTTAAGGATGGAGAGTGACATGATGATGGCTACTTTTTACCGCGGGAGATAATAAGATTCCCACAGGAAAAATCGTTATGATACAACAAAAAAATTTTGTGATCAGAATTACTTGAAACTTGGTATTAATGCTCTTCAATACAATTAAATAAATACATGTTTTTAATTTTTCGCAATTCATCCATAAGGGGGTAAAATAGGGGATGGAAATTTGTATGAAACCTACTTTTTTAGTTTTTTTTATAGTATTAACGCGAGTGATGCCCCGGGTTCTGCTAGTAAATACATAAATATGTTGGGACATTAGTAACTACAGCTAATTGCTTAATATGTACGTTGAATAATGAATAAATTTCTATTTACCAAAATTATAAAGTTTGTCCGCGTTGAATTAAAACAAACAAAAAATAAAAACAAAACATATCGTATAGATATTATAAGATGATTAGCATGTTCTTTTTTCTTATTTACATATCGACAGTTCTATTCTTGTTATATATCTTCCCGTTTCCGGGATCCAGATCAGAGAAAACCGAACTTTTTCATTTATAACATTACTAAGGAACGATAACTTTTATTTGTTTTTTCTTAATCTTCTATTAATCTCTACCATTTTAAATAATTGAAAATAACATTTGTTAAATATAATTTAATATTACATTTTTCTCTACAGACACCATGTACGGGTTATTACTAGAAAATATGGCGGAGTACATCCGCCAGACGTACGGGGAAGAGAGGTGGGAAGATATCAGAAGGCAGGCTGGCGTCGAACAGCCATCGTTTTCAGTACATCAAGTGTACCCAGAGAACTTGATTACGCGATTGGCTAAAAAGGCACAAGAAGTAAGTAATCTATAAGCACATATGAATAAAATTATATTAAAATGTGTTTGGAACGTTAAAATAACACCTTTTTAGTAAATATATATAAAAGCATATAGATAATTTTGAAAATGTTTGCTTGTCTATCTGTCTGCCTGCTTGTTCCGGCTAATCTCCGAAACAGTTAAAGCGATTTTAAGGAGACTTGGCAGATTTGACACTTGCAGATTACTTGCTAAGGATGCACACAAGCGGATCGAAAGTAAGTCGCATACGCAGCATCGCAGTCGCAGTATTATTATACTAATAAGTAATATTGTAAACGTGAAAGTGCGTTTCTTTGCTTGCTCCGTTTATCACCGTTTGGAATCTTAAGTTGCGCAGAATCAATCACTTTTGGCCCAGCCCTATTGACAAGTGCAACATCTTAGTTGAATATTCGAAGTAACTGAAACAGGTTCAAACTATAGGTATAGTAGTTCTGCAAACAGTGGACCTCGCGAGCACTAACTACATTTTGAGGAGATATTCTGTTTATCACGCCTTTGAAATAAAAAAAAAATCATCGAAATCGGTTCTCATAAGGTGAATATATCCAGTAGCCCCTTTTTTACCCCTTTTTATCCCCTTTTTGAAGGAAGTAGCCCCAATCCAATAAAATAAATCCAATCAAAAATATCCGACGAAAAAAATATTCTATAAAGTCGTAAAACCTGTATAGTGTATACCAAATGTCATCCAGATTGTCCATGTTGGTGAATTTCTATAAATCACTCTTGTCAACCAAGAGCAATAAAACATCCGTAGTGCAAAAGACGTGGTTTAATTTCCGATCCCCGAACTCATAGAACGTAAAAATATTTTGTCAAATTCACAAGTCACTACTACGAGTGCATGGCATTAAATAGCAATAATTCCCTCTGCTCCATTGAAAGTTAAAACACCCACATAATGTACATATATGAGGTTATAAATCCCAGAATAGTCCTGTCAAATATGTAAGCTCATTTATCTATACATATAATAAAATTCTAACTAAGTCAAATCTGTACATTAAATATTTTTTGAGAAATCTAATTGAAATAGACATTTTAAATAAAACTATCTTTTCGGATTTTGTCGCGGATTTATTTGCATTTTTGTTTCCGACGTTTCGAATGCTTTACAGCATCCATGGTCACGGGAGAGACTGAGGTGTTACATGTCTTGAATGTATAGTTGTTACAGACAGCCTACCCACAATTAACAAAATGAAAATTGCACCAATTACATTACAATATTTTTTAACTTTAAACATTTTTATAATTTTAATTATAATTGAATATGGAAAATTATTTATTTAATTTTTGCTATTATTTTTATAATTATTACAATTTTAAAATATTAATTAGTAATCTATATTTAGTGTTGCCATTATTATATTTATAACCATAAAGAAAAATATAAAATATAGTATTAATTATTTAAGCCATATAATTGTTCTATGTGTAATTTAAAAAGTTAAAATTAATTAAGGATAATAATTTTAATTTAGTTTGCTATTATTTAAAAACAACTTACTAAGCAACACTATTAATATATACTTTTACAAATGAAAAATGAAAAATATTAATCTGATAAGCTGTCATTTTGATCTACACAGTATGAACTTACTACATCTGCCTGTCTGTTATGTTTATATTTATTATTTGATTTTATTATATTAATAACAGGATCCCATGACGATGGTAGTACCCAGCCATCTTCCCTATTGAAATTAGGATGTTTTTTAATTTCTATGGCTTCTAGAATCATTCTAGGGCGATATCGGTTTTCTTTCGCCAGAATTTGAGGTCTATCGAAGCGAATATAATGGCTTGGGCGGTCCTGACTATGTTTGCAGACAGCAGATGTTGTATTGCGACGGTGCTTCACATCAGCTATGTGTTCTTTGACCCGGGTTCTAATGGATCTCTTTGTTTGTCCGATGTAAGAGAGCCCACAATCACAATCAAGCTTGTAAACTCCTGCATCTTGTAGAGGGATGTGGCACTTGACAGGTGGTAGAAACTGACTAATTTTCTTTGGCGGCTTGAAGTAAGTTTTAATTGAAGCTCGCTTTAGAATGTCGCCAATCTTGTCAGTGACGCCTCTCATGTAAGGTAGGACTGCAGGGACGCGCTCGACTGTGGCTGGTTTCACTCGGTCCCTGTGACGTAGGCGCGGCACTTGCAGCTTGTTGTCTCGCAGAACTTGCTTGACATGTTGCAGCTCTCCGGCCAGGTGTTGCTCGTCACAGATCCCGCGTGCCCTCTGAAACAAAGATTTTCCCACGGTAGCTAACTGTGAAGGGTGGTGGTGAGATTCACCATTCAAGTACCTATCAGTATGGGTCTTCTTTCGATACACAGTATGACTCAAGGTGTTATCTGGGTTACGTATAACTAATACATCTAAGAAAGCTAAAGAATTATTAGACTCCAATTCCATTGTAAATTGTATTTTAGGGTTTATGGAGTTAAGATGTTCTAAGAATACAGATATTTTATCAGATGGTAATATTGTGAAGGTGTCATCTACATACCGCTTGTAGAAACGAGGGGTCACAGGTGATGTGTTTAGGGCGGTGTCCTCGAAGGCCTCCATGAAGATGTCAGCTACAACGGGAGAGACCGGCGAACCCATTGCCACTCCATCCACTTGCTTGTAGAATTCATCATTCCACAATAGATAGCCAGATGTAAGGCAGTGTTTCAAAAGTTCAGTGTATTCTTCTTGCATACTATTATCCCGTAGCTTTCTTGATACTATTTTGACACAGTCCTCTACTGGTAGGCTGGTGAATAGAGACTGTACATCAAAACTGACCATAGTTTCATTGTCCATGAGTTGTAGGTGTTTTATCTCATTGACAAAATGGTATGAGTCCCTTGTGAACGCTGATGTTTGTCCTCTGAGTGTTGAGAGTACTTTCGCTACTAGTTGGGTCAATTTATAAGTCGGTGTGTCGATTTGACTCACAATTGGACGTAGCGGAGCGTTAGGTTTGTGTATCTTTGGAAGTCCATACAGTTTAGGCGGCTTTGCACAAGATGGAACAAGATTTTTGACATCAAGGTCTTATACGACTTATAAATTGGCCCAACTAGTAGCGAAAGTACTCTCAACACTCAGAGGACAAACATCAGCGTTCACAAGGGACTCGTACCATTTTGTCAATGAGATAAAACACCTACAACTCATGGACAATGAAACTATGGTCAGTTTTGATGTACAGTCTCTATTCACCAGCCTACCAGTAGAGGACTGTGTCAAAATAGTATCAAGAAAGCTACGGGATAATAGTATGCAAGAAGAATACACTGAACTTTTGAAACATTGCCTTACATCTGGCTATCTATTGTGGAATGATGAATTCTACAAGCAAGTGGATGGAGTGGCAATAGGTTCGCCGGTCTCTCCCGTTGTAGCTGACATCTTCATGGAGGCCTTCGAGGAGACCGCCCTAAATACATCACCTGTGATCCCTCGTTTCTACAAGCGGTATGTAGATGACACTTTCACAATATTACCATCTGATAAAATATCTGTATTCTTAGAACATCTTAACTCCATAAACCCTAAAATACAATTTACAATGGAATTGGAGTCTAATAATTCTTTAGCTTTCTTAGATGTATTAGTTATACGTAACCCAGATAACACCTTGAGTCATACTGTGTATCGAAAGAAGACCCATACTGATAGGTACTTGAATGGTGAATCTCACCACCACCCTTCACAGTTAGCTACCGTGGGAAAATCTTTGTTTCAGAGGGCACGCGGGATCTGTGACGAGCAACACCTGGCCGGAGAGCTGCAACATGTCAAGCAAGTTCTGCGAGACAACAAGCTGCAAGTGCCGCGCCTACGTCACAGGGACCGAGTGAAACCAGCCACAGTCGAGCGCGTCCCTGCAGTCCTACCTTACATGAGAGGCGTCACTGACAAGATTGGCGACATTCTAAAGCGAGCTTCAATTAAAACTTACTTCAAGCCGCCAAAGAAAATTAGTCAGTTTCTACCACCTGTCAAGTGCCACATCCCTCTACAAGATGCAGGAGTTTACAAGCTTGATTGTGATTGTGGGCTCTCTTACATCGGACAAACAAAGAGATCCATTAGAACCCGGGTCAAAGAACACATAGCTGATGTGAAGCACCGTCGCAATACAACATCTGCTGTCTGCAAACATAGTCAGGACCGCCCAAGCCATTATATTCGCTTCGATAGACCTCAAATCCTGGCGAAAGAAAACCGATATCGCCCTAGAATGATTCTAGAAGCCATAGAAATTAAAAAACATCCTAATTTCAATAGGGAAGATGGCTGGGTACTACCATCGTCATGGGATCCTGTTATTAATATAATAAAATCAAATAATAAATATAAACATAACAGACAGGCAGATGTAGTAAGTTCATACTGTGTAGATCAAAATGACAGCTTATCAGATTAATATTTTTCATTTTTCATTTGTAAAAGTATATATTAATAGTGTTGCTTAGTAAGTTGTTTTTAAATAATAGCAAACTAAATTAAAATTATTATCCTTAATTAATTTTAACTTTTTAAATTACACATAGAACAATTATATGGCTTAAATAATTAATACTATATTTTATATTTTTCTTTATGGTTATAAATATAATAATGGCAACACTAAATATAGATTACTAATTAATATTTTAAAATTGTAATAATTATAAAAATAATAGCAAAAATTAAATAAATAATTTTCCATATTCAATTATAATTAAAATTATAAAAATGTTTAAAGTTAAAAAATATTGTAATGTAATTGGTGCAATTTTCATTTTGTTAATTGTGGGTAGGCTGTCTGTAACAACTATACATTCAAGACATGTAACACCTCAGTCTCTCCCGTGACCATGGATGCTGTAAAGCATTCGAAACGTCGGGAAACAAAAATGCAAATAAATCCGCGACAAAATCCGAAAAGATAGTTTTATTTAAAATGTCAAATATTCGCGTAAATCTAAGAAAGTATTATGAAATAGACATTATTATCGATACAGAGTCCGAATCTATAGTTTTTAGAATTTTTGTCTGTCTGTCTGTTTGTCTGTCTATCTATCTGTCTGTCTGTTACCGCATCACGAGAAAACCACTGGACAGATTTTGATGAAATTTGGTATGATGATAGCTGGTTATCCGGGTCACCATATAGGCTACTTTTTACCGCGGGAAAATATCTCATTTCTGAGAAAAAACACAAAAACACAAAAACTGCATTGTAAGTGTATACTAATATGTAAAACCTAAGAATTAGGTTTTTGGTCATCTAAACGCGGGCGGAGCCGCGGGCAATGCTAGTCTATAATATAAAAATGAATCGCTGAATGTGTTGGTAAGCGCAAACCTCGAGAGCAACTGAACCGTTTTCGCTAATTCTTTTTTTTAGAATATTCCTTGAAGTACGATGATGGTTCTTACGCAGAGAAAAATTTTAAAAAATTGCCTGAATAAGTCTAAAAAGAACACTTTTCTATACTCCCATACAAAAGATTCTTAATAATACTTAAAAGTCAATTTGAACTTTAATACCATACAATAAAGTTTAAGTGTTAGTGGAGAAGTTCCAGGAAGGCAAACAATTGAGTGACGTTAGTATCGTATAAATATTAATGTCAACATTTGTCAACATTATTAACAAAAAAAAATTATATGGCTAACGCTGGCTAATAACTATTTATATCTATTTAAAACGTACCTAGCGACGAACCCGAGCGAAGCGAGGGTAGGCCGCTAGTTATGTAAATAAATAACTTAATAAAAAGTATTGATTATATGAAATATTGCCTCAGATTAAATTGTACATAATTTTATGTTCTATAACTTCTGTAATAACTTCAGCTGTCATTTTGAGCAAAGAAAAAAGGTTTTTTACTACAACAAAAAACCGATTTTCGTGTTCTTTGACCTCTAACATCCAGTGACCCGTACACGAGATTATATAAACTTCTTAAGTTAACTTATAAAATACCAAAACAAAGGTTTACACAGTTTTTTACCCCATTATTTTTTATTCCGAGGTTTACCCTATGTCCTTTTTGACTGCACTGGTGTAATTTTTTAATATTATATAATTATTATTAATAATGCAAAGTTATTATGCCTACAAGAATAAAATTAAATATCACTACCATGTTTATGCTAAAATATACCTTACTATACTTATAAATATATTAAAATAAATATATTGGGACATTCATACACAGCACCATCTAGTTCCATAGTAAGGTACGAGGCTTGTGTTATGGATACCAGATATTTGATACACTACATATATATAACTTTAAATACATACATATTATAAATATAAACACCCATGACTGAACACAAATGAATGCCCCTAGCGGGACTCGAACCAGCGCCGCTGGTACAATAAATATACTATATAATAAAGATACTACATATTACTTAAATTCAAAGTTATCGCCAGTGAAACTCGCCTAATATTGGTGAAATAACATATTACCTTCTTATAAGTAAACGTAGATTACATTACTATTGCCCGACATTTTATCGTATTGAGACTCAACTTGAAACTGGGATCAAAAAGGTAAAACACAGGCATAAAAAATTATGCTGTTATGAGCTCAATACCGATTAGGTAGTCATTTTAAAGTAACAAACATATCCTTGAATTTATTTATAAGTATTGAATACAAATATATTTATTTTTTACTTTTCTATACATATAATAAAATTGTAACTAAGCCGAATCTGTACATTAAATATTTTTTGGAAAATCTTATTGAAATAAACATTATTATCGATACAAAGGCTGATTCTATAGTTTTTAGAATTTTTGTCTGTCTGTCTGTCTGCCTGTTACCGCATCACAGAAAATCCACTGGAGGGATTTTGATTAAATTTGGTATGGTGATAGCTGGTTATCCGGGTAAACATATAGGATACTTTTCACCGCGGAAAAAGTCTCATTTCTGAGAAAAAATACAAAAACTGCAACGTAAGAGTATACTAATATGTAAAACCTAAGAATTAGGTTTTTGGTCATCTGAACGCGGGCGGAGCCGCGGGCAATGCTAATTCTTTCGCATTTTATGAATATCATAATTTATTTTTTGTTTATTCCTTCGATACGTTTTATCAGTTAGTACAGACTTCTCAAAGATGAGATACTTTCCGGCAGTAAAAAATACCCTATATGTTGACCCGGATAATCAGCTATCATCATACCAAATTTCATTAAAATCAGTCCAGTGGGTTCCCGTGATGCTGTCATAAACAGACAGACAGACAAAAATTGTAAGAACTATAGATTCGGCCTCTGTATCAATAAAAATGTCTGTTTTATAAGATTTTCTAAAAAATATTTAAGGTACAGATGCGGCTTAAGTACAATTTTATTTTATGTATAAAATAACTGTGGTGAATACTAAAATAGTACCTACTCACCACATCTTTATATATATAATTCTTCTGTGAGTGTGTATGTCACTGAACTTCTCTCAAACGACTGGACCGATTTTGATGAAATTTTTTGTGTGTGTTCAAGGGGATCTGGGAATGGTTTAGATTCACAATTTGAATAATAATTTTCATCAAAAAAATTATTAAAAAAAGTTTGAAATTTTCAAATTAAAGGCGTGTAGACAGGACAACGTCTTTCGGGTCCGCTAGTCTTTAGTATTTCTATCAGCTTTCCTAGCACATTTTTCATAAACTAGCGTCACAAAGGACGTGAGAATCATAAAATAAAAAGGTATACTTAAGTAACTTAACAACCTAATTCTTAAATTCTAGACGGTAAAAGAGACTTAACGCATCATTCTTTTATATTAATTTGCTTTATTCATTTCAAATAGCTTTTTGATAAAATTGAATGATTCTGTCTTAATCTATACTAATATTATAAAGAGGTAAAATTTGTGAGTTTGTGATATTGTGAGTTTGTGACGTTGTAGGGGGTAATCTCTGGATCTACTGAACCGATTTAGACGAAAAAGAAGATAGTTAGAGACCCTGGGAATGATATAGGTTTTTTTTTTAAATTATAAAAATGTTTAAAATGTTTAAAGTTAAAAATATTGTAAGGTAATTGGTGAAATTTTCATTTTGTTATTTGTGGGTAGGCTCTCTGTAACAACTATACCTTCAAGACATGTAACACCTCAGTCTCTCCCGTGACCATGAATGCTGTAAAGCATTCAAAACGTCGGGACACAAAAATCCAAATAAATCCGCGATAAAATCCGAAAAGATAGTTTTATTTAAAATTCTTTTTTTTGTGTTTGTTATTGTCAGGAAAATTAAAAGAATTTATTTTTACTAAAATAAGATTTTTTAAATCTCATGATATGAAAAGTGAGTGAGTGAAACAGTTTTTATACCGGAAGTCATTCCTTAAGGGTGTGAGAATGGGGATGAAATCTTGTATGGGGAAGGAAGCAAGGTAGGGACGACCCCGAGCAAAGCGAGGCTGAATCGCTAGTAGAAGAATGATTTCCTTAAAAAACACTTCAAATCGAATTTAAAATTCTATGAAAGTGTTCGTCCACTTATGAATGAGAAATATTTTTATTACGGTTTATGAAACAAAAAAATAATTTGATATCAAAGATTCATTATTATCAGTATCAAAGTATATTATTAAAATAGTCATCAATATAAATATAATATACATAAAACTGAAGAGTGTTTGAACACGCTACTCTCTACTGCTCCAATTTAAGAAATCTTTTTGCGTTTTATCACTTATTTATTGAGTAAAGTTATAGGCTTTTCGATATCACACTACGACCTAAGAAAAATAATTCTACAAAAACAATCAACCATATTGAGAACTTCCTTTTTTTCAAGTCGGTCGAAAATTAAATGACCGCGACGCTAGAAAATGCTAGTATGTCATAATAATGTGATAATGTATTTTGCCATCATACACATCGGCCCATTAGCTCAGTTGGTTAGAGCGTCGTGCTAATAACGCGAAGGTCGCGGGTTCGATCCCCTCATGGGCCATGTAATATTTTGGATTATTTTTTTTACACATCGGCCCATTAGCTCAGTTGGTTAGAGCGTCGTGCTAATAACGCGAAGGTCGCGGGTTCGATCCCCTCATGGGCCATGTAATATTTTGGTTTTTTTTTTTAAATGTTTTTTTTTTATTTAATAACAATAATAAAGATATAAAATAAATTACGTCCCTGAAAAAAAGAATGTCTCTATAATTCAACCACCGATGACATAATACTATACATACTTCAACTTGCTATAAAATATTATGAACATGATAAATTAAAAATTATATTTTTTGTGGTAATTTATAAAAATATTACTTGTTATTTAATCGTAATTTAAAAAAAGAATAAAGAAAAATAAAAAAAGACTTTGGAGGTGCTGGGATTTGAACCCAGGACTTTCAGCATGCGAAGCAGACACTCTACCACTGAGTTACACCCCCGATAAGTAACAGTGTGAAATTATAAAGCGTATTACCTACTTACGTTCATAATTCTAAAAAATATGTATTAGGTATTAATTATGTTAACTGTATTCTATAATAAATAACTGTTTCCAGGTCCTAGGAATATCAGAACGCGAATTCATGGATCAAATGGGAGTGTACTTTGTGGGCTTTGTCTCACAATATGGCTATGACAGAGTTTTATCAGTTTTGGGCCGTCATATGAGAGATTTCTTAAATGGATTAGACAATTTACACGAGTACCTGAAGTTCAGTTACCCTAGAATGAGAGCGCCTAGTTTTATTTGTGAAAATGAAACTCGTCAAGGATTAACATTGCATTATAGATCGAAGAGGCGTGGATTCGTATTTTACGCTATGGGACAAATAAGAGAGGTAAGTTCGAAAAAAGTGTACAATATTTTGGTTTTCTTGTATATATAATCCCATAATCCTATAATAATAATCCCATTTTAATATTATAAATGCAAAAGTTTAGATGGATGGATGTTTGTTACTCAATCACGCTAGAACGGCTGAGCGGATCTGGATGAAATTTGGCACAGAGATAGATTATAGTTTTGATTAGCACATAGGTTACTATTTATCGCGGAAAAAATGTACGATTTCCGTGAGATACCAATACTTACCGTTAAAACTTAAAACGTACCTAGGCACAAGCCCGAGCGAAGCGAGCGCGAGTCACTAGTATAATATAAATCATTAAAAATATTTTTAATAAAAATTTTATATAAGTTTTTAATAAAACTTAAAAATATTATAATAATTATCATCAAAAATCGTACTTCAAATTTCAAGATAGGCTTCCCGTGTCAGTTAGATAGCCTACGAATAAATAATAACATTATTATATAATGATGAATCATGAAATAGTTTTATCGTTAACTGTAAATAACATGACAGGAACGTTCAAACGTAAGCGATAAATTATATGTTGAGGTTTTTCAGTGTAATTTTTAACGAATTAAATATTTCACAGTAACATATATAACAATAATTATATACTTTATAAATCATTTTTGTATATCTAAACATTTAATATGCATATTAAAAAGTACAAAAAGAAATACAATTTACTGTAAAAAAACATATATTATAAAAAGCAATTGGACTAATTAAAATCACAAAACAATCTGATTTGGTGGGGTGTTTGGAGGCGCCGGGTATCGATCCCGGTACCTCTCGCATGCTAAGCGAGCGCTCTACCATCTGAGCTACGCCCCCGTTGAATTACAAGCTGAAATTTCTTGTATTATTGTACATAATTATATAACAATTATTTTTATGACACTTTTTAACTAGATGGCGCTAGTAGTCTGCATAAATGCAATTCCTTTTTTAAGATGACACAGTACTTATGCCACTAGATGGCAGTATAAAATAAATCCTAACATATTCTTATTCGCAATTCGAACTTCGTGCAAAATATAAAAGTTATTTAAATAAAGAAATCTTCTAAGTGATAAAAATAATTACAATACCGAATTTTATTTTAAAAGCTTTTAAATTGAACTAGCTTTGTTTCATTATTGTGATTTTCTAGCTAAAAATAATTATTTATATGAATAATCAATTTTTCCATCACTTGTTGACAATTAATATTAATCATAATAATTATTAATAATAATGATTATTAATTATATCAATATTACCTAATTAATCTCATTATGCAAATAAAATATTTTTATTTTCATTTATTTTTTTATTTTTTTGCAATAATATAGAATTGATCTGACCATGAAACCAAGGTAAACGTAGGAACTCCTCATTGAACTATACTACTAGCTGTTAATAAAAAAAAAACTTATTTTTATGGTACTTTTATTCTATTGTAGGTCGCTCGACATTTCTATCACAAGGAGATGCGAATAGAGTTACTTCGAGAGGAGTTACTCTTCGACACTGTGCACGTGACCTTCCAGTTGACCTTTGACAACCGTGCCTTCACATTAGCTTCGCTGGCTATGACGAGGGAAGAAAAACACCTACCTATCAGTGCATCTGTACTATTTGAAATATTTCCCTTTTGTATTGTTTTTGGGTAAGGAACTTATAGTCTATACATCAATCTATACGTATGATAAAATTGTAACTGATCGCTCTCTGTAGTCTGTACATGGAAGATATTTCAGAAAAACTTTTATTGGGGGGTCTTTATTAACGAAATAGAATCCAAAACAATGATTTTTAGAAATTTTGTCTGTTTGTTTGTGCGTTTGTGAGCGCTAATCTCAGAAACGGCTTAACCGATTTGGGTGCGGTTTTCATTAATGTTTTGTGGTAAGCTTTACTTAACATTTAATTTGTTTTATTTCAATTTTTGCCTATCTGTCTGTTACCGCATCAAATTTTATCTTTTAGTCATCCGGGTCAACATATTATAGGATACTTTTTACTGCGGTAAAATATCTCATCTCTGAGAAATCTATACTTACTAAACGTTAAAACGTAAGTTGAGACGAACCCGAGCAGAGCGAGGGTGATTCGCTAGTCTAATATAAGAACTTTTATACTATCTAGTATAGTATTATATGATCTGTGATACTATTAACATTTTACCGAAGTACATAAATTGTAAATTATGTCCTTATTACAGTTCCGACATGGTGGTTCGAAGTATCGGCAACTCCCTTATGGTCATTTTACCAGACTTGGTTGGGAAGAAGATTACCAATTGGTTTGATTTAGTGCGACCACTCATTGCATTTAAATTTCAAACGGCAAGTATAATTTTACAACAATATTTTCCCGCTAAACCTTAGTATACCTAATTAATATTCGATTTTTTTATAAATGCAAATTATACTGTAATAACTCTACCACTAGTTCAGTAAGAATAGTGTCAGTTCCGAGAAAAACTGGCGACAGAAACTCGGAAGACTCAGAGATAGATCTTTTATATGAAACTCATTATATGTTACGCTATCTTTATACTAGCGACCAACTCTCGCTTCGCTCGGGTGTGTCCCTAGGTGCCTGACAGTAGCTGTTAAAGGAACTCAGCGGTCATTTTTATCCAACCTCAGTAATGTATTCAGCCCTTTTTAAAGTCCCACTACTAGGCAGGGGCCTCCCTTCAATACGAGGGGGATCAGGCCATAGTCCACCACGCTGGCCAAGTGTGGGTTGGCGGACTTCACATGTCTTTCGAAAACTTGCTAAGTTCACTCAGAAATGCAGGTTTCCTCACGATGTTTTCCTTCACCGTAAGGCAAGTGGTAATCATGTTAGAAATGATTCGCACATTGAAATATCAGAGGTGCGAGACCCGGGATTTGAACCCGCTTCACTCGGTTTCCCAAGCGATCGCGTTACCACTGGGCTACCACTGCCACTCACCTCACTTCACCTCAGTAAAAGTTATTATAATTTCCAACTATAAAAACATTTTTATCGGAATATAAATAGCCATTAGCCTATCTATAACACTCGGCAGTAATGTCCAGTCCTGTCCTGTTAGTAAAAGAATTTTCAAAATCTGATCAATAGTTTGAGAGATTACCCAACAAACTTACAAACTTTCTTTATAATAATTCTGTATAGAATGTAGATATCTTCTAATACTTAGTATGAAGAATTATTATTTCTATTTAAAACATTTTTAAATTTTGTAACTATCCTATTATAATAATAGATAGATATTTATTCCACTTCTGGAACGACATTAAACCCTTTCAAAATTCACAGAAATTGTCTGACAAAACTTAGTTTCTAGTTTCAGCTATCTGCCAATTTAGATAATTATTATGATAAAGTGATTATGTAAATATTGTCCTTTAAAGTTTATCTTAGATAAATTAATCGAACTTATTTTGAATATATAAACAGAATAAATCCAAAACAAAATGCCGTAAACTTTAAAATATAACATTCATCACTTCAAAGCATGTACTTAGAACACATTTTATTTTCCATAGAGTGATTGATAACTATTCGTCATAGAGAAAAAAAATCTAATGTATCTACTACATGTAAAATAACTATAAAATATTAAGCTTTATTTTTCTCCATAGATCTTAAACCGTACCAACAACATCTTCGAGCTTGTAACAGTAGAAGCTGTTATGCATGACAAAGCGCCAGACAAAAGAAATGAGCTAATCCGACTCTCAGATGAGTCCGATTGCACCACTGAAAAGAATTTAAGATTAAAAGGTAAGTTTTAAGTAAAATAACATTTTTATTATTAAGTAAAAATTATTTATGAATATTCTTTAAATGTACAAACAATTATTTTTTTTATCCTCCTTAGTTTTATTTACGTAAGCAGACAAAAACTATAATCGATTTACTTTTAAAAATTAAACAGAATATCCATTTCTTTTATTAAATCAAAAACAATATCTGATGGTTATTGATTGAGTCACATATCAGTTTACAATGTGGGTGTATATAGAAGGTACTAATTTTAAATATTCTAATAGAAAGGAAGCTATGGAACAGTGTACCTACCTAATAGGATTCTTTTTCTATTGTTTTACCTAAAATCCACATCGAGGACGATTATGGCAATATCGATTTATGATACTAATTTTTATCATATGATTAATAGTTTTCGTTTACTTACTAACCGTGGGGCTTACGATACAAAAAACGTACATACAGACGAACCTCCTTCTTTTTGGAAATCGGTTAAAAATAATGAAAAGCATTGTGTTTAATTTAAACCTTTTTAACACTTAGACAAAGAGGCTGTATAAGTACTAGTATCTATACTAATATTATAAATGTGAAAGCGTGTTTGTTAGTTTGTCTTCTTTTCACGTCGAAACAGAGTGACAGATTGGCTTAATTTTTTGTATGGAGGTAGTTGGAGAGTGACATGGGCTACTCTTTACCTTTACCACGAGAGATTTTCTCATTCCCACGAGAAAACTCGTTATAATATAACAACCCAAAAAAATATATTTATGATCAGAATTACTTGAAATTTGATATTAATGCTCTTCAATACAATTAAATAAATACAATACAAACAAACACGTAAGGGGGTAAAATAAGGGATGAAAGTTGGTATAAAACCTACCTTTTTAGATATTATTTTTTGTAGTTTATGTCACGATGTGTTAGGGCACCGGGACGAATAACTGTATAGTCAAAAAAATATAAACTTTCTGATCGTCATAAATGTAATGGAACTAGAATAGACATCGTATCTATTTTCTTATAAGCTTTCATTTCCGGTGAAACTACTGACCCTTATCAAATTGACGAGGGCATGAAGTTTTATTAGAAGACCTTTATCTAATATAAAAAAATATACAATAAATAATATAATTTTCCTACTACGAGTACTTCCTACCTTAAACTTTATTAATTAAAGGTGAACGTACCTATATAAATTTTATAGCCAATTTTTCCTGAAATATGAGGTGTCATAAAATATGTTATTTTTTATCATCTACAGTCTATTTATACACTAGATTTCTTTGTAGAGGCACAGAGAAGAAATGACTTTTCACTCTGTTTTCCGATTTCTATTCACTTTTTGCACTTTTTTTATACCAATCGTGTATTTTTCGTAAAATTTTACTACGTTCCTCTAACATTCGAAAGACATATCTGGCATGGAAATTTACAATAAAGTATAAAGAACAAATAAAGGATTCTAATCCGCGATAGTAGTAAATAGAGTCAGTCAGGCATCTTCTGATTTTTAGAGTAAACAAAAATTAATAAAATTGTATATGTCTTCTCCATGCTAAGCGGTAAATGCGAAGTATTTTGAGCTTAAGGCATATTTATTAACAAATAATAAGAACAAATGGAAAGGTTACAACACAACTGCGTAAGCCCTTGGCTATGTTTTCGTACCCTCGACTAAAAACGTCAAATACATACGTAATTGAATTTGTTCCAAAAAAAGAAAAGAAAAGATACCTTTTGCATAAACATTTTCAGGCGGAACTCCAAAGAAACGTTTTGCGTACGATGGAAGAAAATTACCTGATGTTATAAATTTACATCTCAAAGGTATTTCTGTATAACGTATAGTATCTTTCGTTTTCCTCACTTATGTACTTCTGTGCGTAGTCAACACGGTAGATATACACTAAGTAGAAATATTATAGAAATTACACAAACAAATACCTTAAAATCGTAATACTTTCTTAGATTTACACAAATATTTGACATTTTAAATAAAACTATATTTTCGGATTCTTTCGCGGATTTATTTTGATTTTTCATCCCCGACGTTTCGAATGCTTTACAGAAATTTAAGGTTAAACCCTAGTCTCTCCTGTGACCATGATTGCAGTAAAGCATTCGAAACGTTGGGAATCAAAAATCAAAATAAATTCACTAAAAATTCAAAAAGATAGTTTTATTTTTAAAAAATCATAAAATCATGTACCTATTATAAATAAAACTGCTATTTCAGATTTGAGAGATTGATATCTGAGATTGAGATTTTTTCCCGTGACCATATATTACTGTTGTGTTTGCTGTAAAGCATTCGAAACGTCGAGAACCAAAAGCAAAATAAAATAACGAAAAAATAGTTTTATTTAAAATCACAAAATATAGGCGTACCTATATCTAAGAAAGTATTATCGTGTGTTATATTTCCTAAGTATAGCTTACGTTATTACAAAATCCGCACTTTGCACTTTTAAACATAAAGCTAGAAATAGAGTTGTCACTTATCACTGACAAACTTTTGGGTGTCCCAAAGCAAGTACTTAAGTTTCAAGCTAATGAACAATTTGACAAGTTTAATTAGAAAGTTTTTTAATGTACATATATTGTCCTTTTTTCAAAAACATTATTCTTAACGTTAATCACCCACGGCATTTATTACACCTGTACCCTCTATTAGCTACCACTATCTATAATTTTCGTAAAGAAAAAGATTTTCAGTTGTTTCAGTTTCAACTTGATAATAATAATTTTTTAAAATTAATTAGGGATCTACGAGTTTATTTTATACATCTATACATATAATAAAAGTGTAACTGATCGCTGTCTGTACATGGAAAATATTTGAGAAAAACTATCTTGGGGATGGGGGTCTTTATTTACGCAATAGAACACAAAACAATGAGTTTTTGAATTTTTGTCTGTTTGTCTGTGCGTTTGTGCGCGCTAATCTCAGAAACGGCTTAACCGATTAGGATGCGGTTTTCACTAATATATTATGGTAAGTTTCACTTAACATTTAGTATTTGTTTTATTTCAATCGGTTCATAAATAAAAAAGTTACGTCAATTTTACATCTAGGGACGAACCCGAGCGGAGCGAGGGTGAGTCGCTAGTACATAATATATCTGACGTTGCAATGACTTACAGATTTTGTATTTTAGAGATTTTAATTCGTCGGAAAGAGTTTGTGAACGTGGTGGGAAAGATAGAAATAGAGATATTATATATACTACACGTGGCAGGTATTATTTATATGTTACATGTGACTCTACTGATTTTCCTATAGGAAATTGATTTGCTCTATGTTAATAATGTTACTATTTATGGTTAATTAAATAATATACATATATAATATTGTAGGTACCTATTTTGCCAAATGTCATTATGAAATTACCGTTTAATATAGCATATACCTAATAATTATTATATGCTGCTATTATTATATAATTACTATGTACTATATATACAGTTGGAAGACAAGAATAATAGTAGGTAAGTAACATAGCACCTGTAAAAGACAAATTAATGTTAAATAACATTTTATTTAGAAATCTTACTAACTATTAATCCGTATTCATATTATAAATCTGAAAGTTTGTGAGTATGGATGTTTGTTACTCTTTCACGCCAGAACGGCTGAACGGATCTGGATGAAATTTGGCACAGTGATAGATTATAGGTTGGAATAACATATAGGCTACTTTTTATCTCGGAAAATGGGATAGGTTTGCATTTGTTTTCCTAGTTAGTAGTCCTTCTCTAGTTACTACATAACTTTGTGACTTGTAAGTAGTAATTGCCTAATTAAAATAGTTGTATATTCTCCTATTTGTGTACAGGTCAAATGATATATATGGATAACTGGCGTATGATGATGTACCTGGGCACTCCTGTGATGCCGGACCTCGCTGCACTGGTCTCCACTGGCCTTTACATCAATGATCTATCCATGCATGACTTCAGCAGGTTAATAAAGTTTAAAAAATCTTAACCATATCCAATATTGAAGACAACAATATTTTAGTAGCTACTATAAAAAATATTTATTAAATATACTTTTATTTTAAATGTTAAATATTAGCGTAAATCTAAGCAAATATTATAGGTACTTTTATTTCTTGAATCATAAATGATAAATCTTCAATCATTTATTTACCACTATCCAACTTTTATTAATATAATGTTTATGTATAAAAGTTATTTTAGACACATTACGGTTACGAAAAGGATTTTTGTAAAAACAATAAATGTTATTTAATATCAATAAAGCATTAAACCTATATACTTTTTCCAGGGATCTCATGCTGGCCGGAACTCAGCAGTCTGTGGAACTGAAGCTAGCATTAGATCAAGAACAACAGAAGAGTAAGAAGTTAGAAGAGTCTATGCGGAAGTTGGATGAAGAGATGAAAAGGACAGACGAACTGTTATATCAGATGATACCAAAGCAAGTTGCTGACAGATTACGTAATGGAGAAAATCCTATCGATACATGCGAGGTATGAGCTATATATTGACGACACGCTTGGCTCAGTTTGTAGTAACGAGCAAGAATGTTTGTACTTCAGTCATGAGTATATTATATTTATATGTATGTATTCAAAGTTATATTCATGTGTTATGTGTAGTGTATCAACTATCTGGTATCCATAACACAAGCCTCGTAGCTTACCATGGAACTAGATGGTGCTGCGTGTTAATGTCACATAATATATTATGTTACTATTATGAATAAAAACTGTACTATCAAGCTTTTACCTTTGAATCAATATTGATTTTTTTTATATATATTTCGATAATTACGTACCAAGAACCTGGAAAAATTAATGCCGCTTTTAACTAACTTTACGCGAATTAAACTAGAGGTTATTTTAGTCGCACGCAGAGGTTAAATTAAAAAAAAAGTTTAAATTAATCACATGTTTTTAGTGAATACTGTTCGATGATATAAACTATTTAGTTATAAAAACCAGGTATATATTTAATTCTAATTAAATTAATATTATACTAGTGATGTAACGAATGTTCGCTTTTTCACATTCGCGAATGCGAATATTCATCTCCAATATTCGCAAATACGAATGCCAATGTTGATTTTCAAACAAAGCGCGCGCAAAATGTCAAACAGACAGGTTTGACATTTCGTGTCGGCTATGTTTAAACCGAACATAGGTCGAATGAACGAAGTTAGTCTCATAGAGTTCGTTCGAAAAGATTTTTTGTGACGTGAGGTTAGTTTAGTATATTGTTGCATTTGTCAAATTTAAGTAACACCTAGTCAAATTGGCAAAGTGATGTAAAACTATGAGTTAAGCACAGTTGCATTTTTCATTTGTCCGTTCATTCCTTATATAATTTCCTTTTTGTTTGTCAAATACATTCGCCAAGCACTCGCATCGTTTCTTGTGAATGCGAATGTCAAAAAATATGCGAATATTCGCGAATGCGAATATTCGTTACATCACTAATATACACACACTGGTGATAAAAATCTATGAAAGAGGTAGGTTTGTTTTATTCTATCTTCGCCTTAAGTACCAAAGATCTTGTCGGTTTTATTTATACTAATTACAAATACTAATAATAATGTTTTTTTATTATAATATAATCTAAAAATATTGTGATTATTAAAGTATAAAATTCCTAATTATAATTTTAACTACGGGTATTGCCTTTCCTATAAAAGGGCCCTTCTGCTGCCGCGCCGCTACGAAAGCTAACCTCATATAATAATAATATAATTAAGACGTAAATTTTTTGTAATTGTTACAAATGGGCTTTTACAAGGTTTATTTAACTCTATTGTTTGTGATACTGTTATTATATTAAAAATATAATTATTAGAAGTGGCCATTATCTTAGATATCTACATCTACACGAATATTATAAACACGAAAGATATGTATTTTTGTATGTTTGTAACGAATAATCTCAAAAACTTCTGGACCGATTTAGATAAAATATGGTAAGAATATAGTTTGAGACCCTGGGAATAACATAGTTTTTTCCCGGAAATCATCCCTTTAAAGAGTAGAAAATGCGGATGAATGTTTGTTTGGGAAATCAACCTAGGGACGAACCCGAGCGAAGTGAGGGTGAGTCGCTATCTGTTAAATAACTAGAATAGCCCATAAGTATAATATTAATTAGGTATCTACTCAAGATTAATTAACATAAATTATGTTCATGAATATCGCGAGAAGTTAATTTAGTAAATTGTATGAAAGGTTTAAATAAAGCTTTAACCCTTTTTGAATCTCATTAGATACAAATCTACTTAATTATCCTCCTTCATGGCTTATACAAAAGTTTTAGATTAATCCATAACATTGCCTTATATTATAAAGTCTAGTCGACATGACTTTGTATCGTGCTAACCTAACAAGTTTTTTCGATCTTTGCTCGATAATAATGCATGTACCTAGCGCTGCAGAAATCGATAATGGTTTCAGCCATTCAGAGGTATATATAGGGAGAATGTATATATGTTACTCCTTCAAGCAAATACTGCGAAAAGGATTTTGATGAAAATTTACAGTAATAGGTATAGCAAGGATGAAGGATAAGAACATAGGATACATATGTATATTACTAGCGACTGACTCTCGCTTCGCTCGGGGTCGCCCCTAGCTTGATTCCCATTAAAATTTCATCCCCATTTTCACCCCCTTAAGGGACGATTTCCGGGATAAAAAGTATCCTATGTCCTTCTCAGGGTCTCAAACTATCTTCTTACCAAATTTCATTTAAATCGGTTCAGTAGATCCAGAAATTACCCCCTACAACGTCACAACCTCACAAACTTTAACTCTTTATTATATTAAGTATAGATAATTGAATTACGCGAGCGGAGTCGGAGGAAAGTGCTAGTTCAAAATATACGCTTTTGAGGCTAAAAATATCCAAAACAATAAAATATTGTTTGCCTCTAATCTAAAAACCAAATACAAGGACGTCATATCTTACAGATGTTCGACAGCGTTTCAATCTTATTCTCGGACGTGGTGACCTTCACGGAGATATGCTCAAGGATCACTCCGATGGAAGTGGTCTCGATGCTAAACGCCATGTACTCTATATTCGACACCCTCACTGAGAGAAACCGTGTGTACAAGGTAAAGTCATATTTTGTTTTAAATATTATTGACTATAGTTATTAGTTATATATGGTAGATATTGTATAATTTGATTGGGTAAGAAATATTAAATAACAAATTTTCAGATAAACTTAAGAAAGTTTTTTAATAAAATAATTACAAGCAAATGGACAAATAAAAGAAAAGTTTGCTTCTAGTCCAAAACTATTTTTTATAGTATTTGCATGACTCTTGGCCTTTGGCATCGTAAAACTAAAACTTTACTATAGATGTTTCGTATTTATGCCTTCTTTGAAAACACTAGGGCTGAGTAATTTTTTTATCTAAAAATCGATTTTGATAAAAATATCAGAAGGTATTAGTGATAAATCGATTTTTTGCTGTTATTTCAGCTATGTTCCCTTCAGATGGCGGGGTATTTTTTATAAAGGTAGGAAATCTGTTAAAAGGCCACTTTGTAATAATCCGATCCCCTGTAATCGGATTATCCGAATTAAAATGAGGATATCTCTAAAGCTTTGTATTGGAGCTGTATATATAACTTATGTCGTTAGAATAGTTATGAAATTACCTAACACATTACGAGTAAAAATGGTTTATTCCAGTTTTGAGTTGGAATGTATTAGTAAATCGACCTTTAACTTAGGGTTAGCCGAATTTACATAAAAATCTTTATAACTTAATCCCTCCACGACCGTGGACACGCCGGCGTTACAGTTAACAATAGATTTCTTAGAAATTTAATTAATTTCTTAGAAATTTACCTGGAGGTGTTAATATAATTTTTTACAGGTAGAGACAATAGGTGATGCATACATGGTAGTATCTGGCGCACCGGAAAAGGAAGACAATCATGCTGAAAAAGTTTGCGACATGGCTCTCGATATGGTTGAAGCGATTACTGACCTCAAAGATCCTAGCACTGGTAAAAATAAATTACATCATTAAAAAAGTTTTAAGTTGCTTTATTCTCTCGTCTTGTTCTAAGCTAAGTTAAAATTAAATGTTAGCGGGAAAAAGCCGCGTTGCTTGACTCTTAGCTAAACTTAGTAAGTATAACTAATTCTTTTTTTTATGAAACATCAGATGCCTTAAATCGACTTGAGACTAACGCGCAAGAATTATAACGTCCCTACAAAGGGGCAAAATATAATAATTAGAACGATTTTTATTTCATTTCCAGGGTCCCATTTATCAATCAGAGTAGGGGTACATTCCGGGGCAGTAGTCGCCGGTATAGTTGGCTTGAAAATGCCTCGCTACTGCCTCTTCGGAGACTCTGTAAACACAGCATCCCGAATGGAGTCCACGTCTGAAGCCATGAGGATCCATATCTCACAAACAACACAAGAATTGCTCTCACCATCGTATATTGTCACTGAACGAGGCGAAATACAGGTCAAAGGCAAAGGTAATTCAAGAAAAGTGAGAGGTAAAAAGAATTAAGTACTATATTGTAATTCTTTAATTATTTAAGTATTTATCTATATATCTTATCTCAAATATATAAAATTCTCGTGTCATAGTGCTTGCAACAAAATTCTTTCGAAACGTCTTGACAGATTCTTATGAAACTTTGTGTGTTTATTCAGTAGGTCTGAGAATAGGACGTATACTATTTTTTATAGCCCTGATTGATAAGGGTGGTTCACCCAAAAAAAAATATTTTTAATTTCGGGCTTTTTACAACACTTATAACTCGAGAACTGCCGGATCGATTTTTATGATTTTTGTTTTGTTAAATTTGTCCGAATAGCAGAATAACTATTAAAACATCGGAAAAATTCACTCAAAAAAATTAGAAAAAGACAACTATTCCATACTAAGCGTCAAAATGTAAGTATCTAAGGACAACCCTGAGCGAAGCGAGGGTGATTCGCTGGTAAAAGTATATTTGTGTGTTTTTTTTTTAATTTTGTCCTCCATGGAGCAACAAAATTATGATTCAGCGGGATTGCATTACATAGAGACTCTTTATTCGCTGGAAAGTGACATAGACTACGTTTCATCATGATGATTTTATGAGATATTGGTTGTATCTCTAGCAAATAACTAGCTCTGAACTTTTACTTTAATTTTAAAATTTTCTTTTGTAAATAGATGTATAATCTCATCGTATTTCTCTTGTAGGATATTAGGAGGATCAAAGATACATATAAGATATGTATGAACTTCATTCGATTATTATCCATAAAATTCATATATGCGATAATGTGTTTTAAATATTTAAATTTCTGTATTACTTCATTCATGACAAGCATTTACTTTACGAAAAAGGAACTCGCGTCTTATTTCGATGCAGACAGCACCATTCAGACAGGCCAAAGTGCATCATGACGACTATCACAATATTATGTTCAAATGTAATAGTAATTTATTGTTGCTTTCTATAAAAAAATAATCAGTGTTCTCCCTCGGTCCTAAAAAGAGCTGGCAAAAAAAACTATTATCATGTAATTTTGTAGTAGTCAAATGTTTATTACAGGCGCAATGAAAACATACTGGCTAGAAGATCGAGAATCACGACCTTCCCTTACAAAAGTGATATCCAAACAGATACAACCAGTTTCTGAGTTAGAGTGGGAAAGAGCGGCCGACGTCAGGGACAGTATTGCTGAGCATTCAGCACAAAATCTAAACAAAGACAACACAAATAATAAAGAACTTAATCTAAATAAAGAATTAAACTATTATCATCCTAACTCCATCAATTCTGGACCTAATTCCTTAAACAATAACGTTCCAAATCAAATAACATTCCCATCGCCAACTATGAAGAATCAAAGTGCTATGACGTCACCTGCGGAAGAGAGACGGATGTATTCTCCCGTCACATTCCAAGATGTCGCTAGACGAAGTATCGCGAATTCACCCAATAGAACTGAAAAAGACAAAGGTACTTATTTAATAATTAATGTAAAAAAAATTCAAGTCTGATTATCATATAAAATTTGAAGAACTTGTCATTGCCCAGCCGTGCATCCTTATCGTGAAAATATTTAAATAATGATATTATTGTAGGCATTATTCATATCATTTTTTATATAATAATCAGATAAGTATATGTTTATATCAAAGAGCAATTTAATTGTTTGAAAAGATATTCGGCCATTTCCAGAGTCGAGATCAACTTCGGCAAGTGTGGGCGGAGCGTGGACGGACGCTGAGTCCTTGGAACCACAAAGAACTCTTGACAGTTTAAATTCGTCTTTCTGGTACTCATAAACAAACACTCTTATAAACATTTTATGAATTCTTAACTTGAAGATTATATGTATACTGTAGCAATTTAGAAATACATATCAAATATTTAAATTCTTAAACATAAGGTAATATAGCAACGAATTAGAAATATGAAACATAACAAGAAACCAAGTTCGGCTACTTTAAATAAATAATCTTTGTAAATCTCAAGTTACAGTTCGACGTCCCCTTGCAGAGCCGGAACCGCGCCAGCATCTAAAGACCACGATAATGACTTCTTTACCGAATCAGTGGTAAGTTTTATGCAATATTACAGACGAATTAGAGACATCATTGAAATTAACGTCATGAAAATTCTTTTAAAATCATTCTGTACACTTTTAAACTTTAAAAATTTAAACAAACAATGGTGTTTACACCACATATATAAAAAATAATTTATCGCATTTTTATCATATCTACATGTATGCATTCATCACATTGTTCCATAGTCTTTAATTTTTATTATAAATGTTTTCGTATGTCCTACTTTCTTGTGGCAATTTTCATACATAATATACGTTATATTTCAGAACAATTTTTATTAGATTGTTGCAAAATATTTCTTAAGAATTGTGCTAAAACAAAGCGAAGGTGTGTCAATACTTAATGAAATATATTGAAATACTATCGGCTCACCATCGCTTCACTCAGGTTCGCCTCTAACAAAAACAAATCTATCCCACGGGAACCATACATTTTGCCGGATAAAAAGTAGTCTATGTATTATTCTGATATATGAGCTATATTATTGTAAAGTTTCATCAAAATCCATTCAGTAGTTTTTGCGTGAAAGACTAACAAACATGCATCCATACATCCATATATACATACTTACAAACTTTCGCGTTTATTTATCTGTAGGATTTAGGAGCACAAGCATTTCTAAATTGTTAATAGTAATTAGGGTAGATATAAACTTAAAACATTATCAGTGCGTAGCACGAACTTCGCCCGCACACTCTGCCCCGGCCACTGCGCCGGAGCGCCCGCGCACTGCCTCGCCGGCGCCGCGACAAAGCATCGATGATATCGGTACCTAGCATTGTAATGTGTGTTTGTTGTTTGTGTTTCCATGTTTTTTGTTATATGTATTTATTTGTATGAACTAGTTAGAATTTTACTAGTTATTTTTAACTAAACTATCTTTTCCAATTTTTGCGGACTTAGTTTAATTTTTGGTTCCTGATATCGACATTCGACAAACCTAAATATTCGATAATAACGATATTTGAAACCAAAATAACGTATTTTTATTTAAAATGTCAAATATTCGCGTAAATCTAATTTACAATCTCGATTTGTGTATGTAATTCACAAAAAATATGTAACTATATGTACACTAAGACAGATAGGTACACTACTAAAATGTAAAAAAGCACTTTTTGTGTGTAAATTCTAACCAACGCTATTAAATGTTGTTAAATGTTATCATCCACATAATATTTCTATATATTAATATACATTGGTTATAATTTCAGAAACTGACACGGAATATCAAGATGCACACACAGACGTCGGCCACATTTGCGCTGAGCCGGAAAACGTTGAACCTCCCAAACAAGGCAAAGTAGGCAGATTTAGGGCTCGAATAGCACCAGGGCATCATAAATCAAGTACATCTGTAAAACAAACTAATAAAGATTCTATGAAGTCAAAACAAATACCAGGTAACAACGTTCAGCCGCATGGACATCATCATACGAAAAATGTTAACCACCACCAATGCTGTGGAGCTTTTGGAAACCCTCATGTAAGACATAAGACAAGTAATTCTAACTGTCATTTAATATAAATTCATATGTGTAGATAGAAATAGCTATCTTATCGCATTACGGGTAAAGGCTTTTGAATTATATTAGCCTACAATACATTTCAGATACTTTCAATGCATATCTTTCACAAAGTTTAGCATTTATTACTGAAATTATAAAAAATACTTTAGAGAGTCATAAGTAAATCTGTTTTTTTTCTTTTTGTTACTAATATTAAAGTATTATTTTAAATTTTATATTGAAATTATAATTTGTTTGATTCATAGAAGTATTATTATGTTCGTTTATTCTGCATCGTTTAATTTATATTTCAATATTATTTAGTATGTAATATTTATTTTTGTCAAATTTGAGATCTAGTAATTTTAATAACTTTTATCGTCTTTATATTAATATATTTATAAAATGTCACTAGGCACATATTCACTGTATTAATGTTTCTAATTCGGCCTAAAAGGTTATATTTGTTGTGAATCTTGAAATTGTAGGAAATATAAGAACTAGACAAAATATTTTTGTACAAACACTTGTACAAACTTGATGTATTTATTGGCTTTATTACACTGCTATTCTAGTGTATAAAAATAACTCAATATTTTAAATAATGAAATTATTAATCATTCTGTTATTTAGGTAATATTATAATGTCTTCTTATTAGCAATTGTTTATTTAAAAGTATTTTTTTAAATAATAATTTATTCCGTATATAGTTATCCATCCTTCATAAATAATTATAATTTTTATTTAGAAATTATTGTACATTTTGTAATTCAAATGTGATTTTGTTACCTACATGCTAACTAGTCTTTAAAATGATTTTTTAACATTAAATAAACAATACAAGCAGTATTTTTGTAACATATCGTCCTGTAATTATTTTTTTTAAATAAAAAATATGTACAATATAGTGTTTTTGAGATAGTAATTTATTAAGTTAGATATTACAAACCTGCAAGGTTATATCCAAAATCCAAAAATGTGTAAATTTTATATCAATGTTTACATATTAAGATGTTTTAGGTGTACGTAACAATATAAACTGTAAATTCTGTGTTAGTTCGTACAGAATTAATTTAAGATGAGCTTCACAAGTGACAATAGATAAATAAATAAATCTAAATATATTTGTTGTAACATGAGCACTGTATGACAGTGGTATATGAATCTTATATAAATTATTAAAAATGAAAAATAATATTAATCTTGTTAAATAAACCCAAAAATTATTGTAAAATATTCATATAATTATATTAGTAGAACTTTTATAGTGCACTGCCGTGCACCCATGATTCCAAAGTCCCTAAAAACTTAATGTTTCTACTTTTTAGGGTTAGTAAAGAAAATCTAGTAAATTTAATAAAACATATTTTAAAATGATTAATAAGAGTACGTTTTCCGAGTTCATGTAAAAAAAAGTTATCTAGACTAATATTATAAATGTGAAAGCTTAGATGTTTGGCTGTTTGAATGTTTGTTAATCAATCACGCCAGAACGGCTGAACGGATCTGGATGAAATTTGGCACAGAGATAGATTATAGTCTGGAATAGCACATAGGCATTTTTATCCCGGAAAAACGTACGGTTGCCGTGGGATAGATTTGTGTTTGTTTTTCTAGGGACGAACCCGAGTGAAGCGAGGGTGAGCCGCTAGTATTACATATTTATAAGTAAGAAACTGCTGTATACTTCTTAGATATGTATGTTTGAATGTTCTATACTCATTATTCACGTAGGTAAGTCACGATCATCGCGTTTGTTGTGGGTCAATTATGAATTCTAGTCGTTTTGAGATTACATAATGAAAGTAGACTTTGTACTTTTTGTCTTTGTGTTTGAGTTGTACTTAATTCTATTTAAATATTGTTAATAAATCTGTTATAATTGGACTGCGCGCTATTTTTGTGAATGTTCATAATATCTGCTAATTTATTAAACTTATTGGTAATATATGTAAGTACTTTGAATATCGAATGTTATCTTAGATATTTGTTCTATATGGAGTCAGATTTAAGATTTCCAAGAAATGACAATGGGTCTTTACAATTTTTAATTAATAATAAATGTAAATATTTTGTTCACGATCTAATATGCAAACTCCCACGAATGCGCTCTCTTTTTCTACGTGCAAGCTTAAACGAGATTTTGTTTTTAATTCCTTATCGCAGCTTTTATAGTAAAGCCAAAGTGTTTAATATGTTCATGAAATTATACATTAAGCCCTCTCATATACAAACTCGTGAATTTGGAATCTTTGTTACACTGTCGTTCTCACTATTGTGAAAATAAAAGACGTTGGAGCTACATTTGATTTATTTTATTTATCTTTATTTATATTAATAAGTGGAAATTACATAATTTGTTATAAAAATAAAATTTCGCTAAAAAATAAATCATAATATTTATACCATTACGGATTCTTTCCTTTTGTGACAAATATTAAGTTACTATCACCAAAGAAATGTTATCTAATCGTTATACTCTTAAATATGCCTAATACATTTTTCAATGGGAGATTAAAATTAATAAAAATTGCTTAAATAGAATTAAATCGCACTTAATATAAAACATATAAAACTTATATAATATTATTTAATTACGTCTAACAATACAGTAACTTGTCTCTTAAAACGTACAAATCAAAACTTAACAAAATTCTGCTATAAAAGAAGCAATTAAATTCTGAGTTTATGATAATTACTCAAAGCTCAATTCTGTACCTTTTAAATTTTCCTCGGCCCAATTATCGAAACGTCGCGACAAATCGTCCGACATGAAATTTTTCCAGTCACCGATCTCACCTTTTCTTATAAATCTGAGCGAAGTTTGCTCTAAATAATTTTTACCAAAAGATTTTTCCAGGACCGCTTCTAGATTGACCGCTCTATTGGTTTTCATATTTTGGAACGACAAATGATCGCACAATTTAAAAACTTCCTCGTCGCTTAAGCTTTTGTTCAAAAATTTTGCCGTTTTCCTCACGACTTCTGGTAGGTCGCGTTTCATTTCTTCGAATTTGATGAAGAGGATGTTCGGGTCATCGCGTCTTTTCCAAAAACCTGTGAATAAATATATGTGAATATATTTTCTATTGCACTTAGTAATTTAAAATATCACATATTCCTAAATTAGACATCTATATATCAAATCTCACCAAGTATATGATTCCAAACCGGTCCGAATGGAGCTCGATCCCGTATGAAGAGGTCACAGAAGTCCTCAAACGTTCCTTTGAGTCCGTGCACCAGCGTACAGTAGTGATAGTAAGAAACCACCATGTCTTTTGGATTGCGGGATGTATATATAACCTGGTAAATAAATAATATAATAGGAAAGTGTCTGTATAGACAGTAGACACTAATAAGTGCTTATTAAAACCGGTATGCTTAAAAATAATATTTTCTGGAATTTATCTTCAATAAGTTGTTATTGGTGCGAAACCAAAACAACTTTAAAATAACTAAGTTGCGCTAATATACATTCATAAAACTACCAACTTATGCCTAAAAACATAATTTATTTCTCAGATTTCCAACTTACTTTTGGTTTAACAGATCCATCCTCTTTTAATATATCAATTGGCAGTAGGTCCCAAGGCAGGTGACTACGGATATAGCGGGGATGAGCCAAACGATACTTTACAAGGTCCACTGAAGTACCTCGAACAGACTCATCGTGCCACTCCGCGTGACCATCTACCATTATACATGAGAGTTCCACTAACGGACACCGAATCTAAGATAAATAAATAAAAATATTATCAGTACCTAATAAGTATTTCTTACATAAATAAAAGTAAAACATATGAGATTGTTAACGCTCGCCTGTTTAGTTATATATTTTATAATCTGTTTTAATTATTAATGATGATGATGTTCTCCTAGCCGATTCCGGCCACGGCGGCCAATCTCAATGAGATTAGCCAACTGCGCAGGAGATATTATAGTGCTCAAGTGTACGCGCAGACACAAGTGCACTCTCTATTCCTATCACTCCCATACTCCGGTGGGACGACCACTCGACACGACCGGTGAGAGTTAAGGCGCAGGACCGACGGCTTTACGTGCTCTCCGAGGCACGGGGGTGAAACACCGCCAACTTCCCAACTCCGGGCTGTTACTGAGACTTACTATACAGGAAGACTCAATAACTAAACTTGGCCCGACCCGGGACTCGAACCCAGGACCTCCGGGTGTGCAGCCGTACATGCTAGCCACTACACCACCGAGGCAGTTAATTATTAATACTTATTACTCAACTAACGACTCACTCTCGTTCCGCTCGGGTTCGACCCTACCTTTTAAGGCTAGTATAAATTTCTCAGAGATGAGATATTTTCACGTAGTAAAAAGTATCCTAATATTTACCCGGATAACCAGCTAATAGTTATCAACATACCAAATTTCATCAAAATCTGTCAAGCGGTTTTCAAGTGGCGCTTTCTCAGACAGACAAAAATTCTAAAAACTATAGATTCTGTCTCTGTACCGAATATAATAATAACTATTTCAATAAGATTTTCCAAAAAATATTTAACAGATTCGACTACGTTAAGAATTTTATTATATGTATAGATTTAAAAAAAACACTGTTCCAAAAAGATTAGATAATAATGAAAAAATCATTACATATTTCTAAATATCGTAAAAGATATCCTAACATATACACATATGTAGCATGTAGGTAATATCTATATAACACTGCGAGTACATAGATATCTATTTAGTTATGCTTCATTTAGCTATAATATGATATTTATTAATAAGAAACTACTTTCCAATGTTCGTTAAACATATGTAAGTAGGTACACGCAGTTACAAGTACTAGGTAAGTACGCATTTCCGTATTATTACAAGTTATATGTGCAATAGGAGCATTGAAATGGCAAAGTTATTAAGTCATAAGTGTATTGTTTTTAACTTCATTTTATTGCATATTATATTTTTATGTACTGCATGTACATAAACACGTATATTACACATATATTTTAATTGACCTTAGTTTTTCGGTTCATATCTACTGTAGGAACTACACTTTACATTTTCATATTAGCATTATTTAGATCAAAACTACCTGTTGTAAGGATTTTGCACCTTCATAGTCCAAGTCGTGGCCGATAAGCCAAACCATTTCTTGTGCCCATGTTGATCCTAAACAAAAGATTACTAATAAAGAAATTTAAATATTACTTGAAAAGTAAGGAAAAAATCTAATTAATTATTATTAATTTAAAAAAAACTAACGATACACATTGACATATTCAAATTTTTGAAGCGATAAAGTATAACGAATGCCAGACGAATATGGGGCAGGCTGCTTGTGGACTTATATAGTTTTAATCTTCAAATAACCCTAAAGAAATATTTTGAGTCCTAAACAAAGATTGCTGGCCATCTTAATAGTATAGGATCCCAGTATAAAACGACCTTAACCGCGCTGGTTAATGGATGAAAAGTATTTTACATCAAATTAAAAATGTCAATAAATATATTCCAAATGGGTTGGCAATGACAATGGCTTTATCAGTAAAAGATACTCTGAATAGGGAATCCGCTCACAGTCAATATGAATATGTAAACTCTGGCTTAAAAGCTAGTATTCTCTATGTATTATCTATCTCTATGTATTATCTATCTCTATGTATTATCTATCTCTATATATTATGTATTTAAATAATTACCTGAAAAATAATTATTTATTACGTTCTAAAGAGTTTTATTATGTAAACATTTCTTAGACTCTATTTTAGCAAGTAATTATTTATTTTACCACTATTTCAGATGGTAAAATATTATTAAATAAATAAATCTGGAATATTATTATTATCCTCTTTAAGGAAATTGGAATTAAAAATAATAATAAATTTTACTTACCAGTTCTAGGATAAGAACACATCCAAACATCGTCCTCTAACACCTCCATATCTAAAATATCTTGCCCAATATTCATATAATCAGCTGGCAATATTACACGTCCAGGATTTATTTCGACCATGCAATCTTCTTTTTCGAACATGCGATCTAATTTATCTCCAGTCTCCTTATCTAGCTTCGAAAAGGTCAAATTAGGTTTCGTCCTCATTGTTACGTTTGAATTTCAAAAATTATTCAGTCTCTTAACACATTTGATTACGGAAATAGAAGAGAATATAATTTTTCTAATAATACAATTCCTTTTTTTAGCGGAAAACACGTCTAATTCCTTGCAGCTAGAAAATTGCAATGATCGCGTGCATCGTGCTATGCACCGTATTCCTCAACTCTCTCTGTACAGGAGTGTTCACTTTCGTATTTCCTAGGAGCTATGAACATTGATCGCGGTATTTTATATAAATAAGAAGTAAGTACATATTGTTCGTCACATTTCTTTCATCATAAACTTTTCCTTTTACTTCAGCACGCGATTAATACTTACACATGTTAAATTGCATAATTATTTAATTTCTCCTAATTTTAAGGGCTTGTTAGAACAATAAGTATTATTATAAAAAACAAGAGTTTCTTTTTATATTGATTTTCTTTTATATTAATATGACAAAAAGGTTATATTTTTACTAGCCCCCTGTATAAAATAAGTTTGCTTCCGCGACTACTTCCTGTCCAACAAGTATTGCTATGCCTTCATTGCGAGTGCAATACCCTATTATGCACTTAATTTATATATCTCCGCATATCGGATTTTCTATATTTTATATAATATTTGAATAGACATTCAATACCTATATGAACATGAATAATAATACCAACCTGTTGTAAGTGAAAACTTTTGTTTAGACTAAGGTGCCTAAAATAAGGCTTACATTTCTATGTAAGCCTACGTTTAGGCACGCTGATGTGTATTGGGGGGCTCATTAGCGTCCGGCAACCCAGCAGGGCGCGAAGCCAAGAGATAGGGAGGTGGCCCACCTCGGTGGGCGGTGTACCATGCGGTTTGCTCCTGGTACTTCTCTGATAGCAGAGAGGACCGTAGTAGCAACCCCTTGGTCGGGTGGTCTGCTTCAGCAGACTTGGCGTCGTCGCCCCATCATCATCAGATCGGGGGAGGTTCTGTTGGGTTTTAGTATGTAGTACTGGTTTTGTAGCCAGTGAGTCCCACCACATAACCTGTATATGTACAGGTGGTATGCGTAAATGCATTTACCAACATTAAAAAAAACTTTAGTTTTCTTTAATAAGTTTTTCATAGCACATATTATATCTCATAAGCACGACCAATATTATAAATTATTAAATAGCTACTAACCTAACAGTAACCTGTGTTACTCCAGTGCCCGAAATGAAATCCAAATCCGTCCAACCGTTTTAGTTATAAAACCTAGCGGCTAGCGAATAATGTTTTTTTTTGAGAAGAAAATGTGATACATGTGGCATTACTTTAACAAATAAGATGAAGATCTATAAGGTAAAAAATATCAAGAAAGTGACAACGCAGTGCTACTATTTATGAAGGAAAGCTTATATAAGGCAAGTAATAGCTACGTAATTTGCAAAAACCGCAAAGGTTTGCAATTCCAAGCTTTTAGCTTTCAGTCGCAAAACGACATTTGCGAGTTGCAGTTGCGCCGAATGACGTGTATTATATAATCAGTTTAAAATTATCTATTTAAATATACTTTAAAATGGAAATATCAAAACGATAATATTTATCTATTTGACAAGTTATACAACAAAAAATAGAAAACCAAGTATTGAATATTGATTATGCGCTCCTCACGAATCTAGAGGGTCGTTTGACTTTTTGTTTCGCGCCATCGATCCCTCCCCTATATAATATATTTACTTCCGCCGTCCAGCTAACGAAAACGTCACGGAATTATTGAAACCAAAACAAATAGCATTAATCATTTAAATGTCTAAAATGACGAATGTGAACTCGAGCTTGGCATATGAAATATTACTCTATCTAAATTCGTTTTATTTAGGAATGTTTTTCGTTTGTGAGATCGCTATGGGGATATTAAAGGCGATAAATGTTTCATATCCAGAAAATGCTCTACTTACTGAGGCCGGAATATTTTGTGCACTGTGCCTCGTCGAAGTAATTCGAATTTTTCTAGGAAGACGTGGAAACTTAGCTAGCAAAAGTAAGTAACAACAAGAATGGCAAAAAAGTCTAATTGAAAAAAATTTTAAAGCAGGTTTATACATGGAATTTTTTTGTGAATGAAGGCATTCATGAGTTCTTTTAATAATCATAATAAACACAACGCTTTATATCATATTTTTCTTTCAGAAATTCCAGTGTTTTTCTCAGTGGTACTAACCATACCCTGTGCAGTTGGTGTGTGCTATTTCCTCATTTATCAGACTTATATTTTAAGGCTAGAATATATTTGGTGTGCTGTTATGCTCATGTTCCATGCTTTAGAACTTACATTTGCCATTTTATTTATTTTCACTGTTTGTAAAAACCAACAATTTGAATAGAATAGGTTTAAAAGTACCTCCTTGCCAAATAAATACTAATTGCCAAACTGATTGTATTGGTTATTGATATTTTAGATATAAAATTTCTGATAAGAAATTGAGGAGAGTACTTGAACAAAAGACTTTGATGTAGTGACTATTTTTCTAGATAGATATTTGATACTATAATGCTTTTATAGCTTAGTGTTCGCTCAATATTTGAAATTAGATGTTATATTAAATGACTGTTAATTATTGTTGTAGGCTATAATATATTGTGGTTAAATATCATAGAAAAGTAAGAATTTAATGGCCATAACATTAATCTCATATTCGTCCTTATTATATAAGTAATTGTTCTCGTATTCCTAATGTTTAGTAATAAAAGAAAGTAAAACTTTTTGCACATTGTATTTTATTCTATTTCTACAATACTTAAAATCTATTTATTCTTATTTTGGTGGTGTAATGTGATCTGGTATCTTTTGGCATTCTACTTTTGTTACTTTAAGAGCACATCCTTCTGGTAGGTTCCTTTCAATATACTCCAAGTATGTGTCACATGTTGAACCTGTGAGTCTTTGTAAATGTACAAATCTAAAATATGTTCTTATTTCATATTGAACTCTATGCTTCTTATAGATATGGACACATCTTAATAGTGTATGGCGCTCTTTTTCTGCTTTTCTTAAGGCCCAGCTGTAAACAATTGAAATAAAAATGGTAAAAGCTGAGATATAATAAAATTTTAAGGCAAATGCTACAATTATAATTGCATTAGGTACAAAATGTAAACGAACTATTTTAAAAATGAAAATGTCTGTTTAAGAAAATTAAAAATGTACAACAAAATTACCTTTTAGTAACTTCAATGCCTAAGTGAGAGGCTGCAGCAATACAAAACCAAGAATAACTTAATAATACGGCTGGGTCTATGCCTCTCATTTCAAGTTCAACTCGTTTATATAATTTATCTAATTCTACAGTTGTTGGAACTGCTTCTATAGGTTTTATAGGTGTGATTGTCGCGGTGGTCAGAGGTCTTACCAATGTGTGAGTGCTAATAATATTTCTTATTAATGGTGAAGAACGGCACAAACTCTGCAATAAAAATAAGGCATTTTGGATTTTATTTAAAATATTCTTGTTTTATCTTAGTTGTACACCGATAATACTAACTCTGATTACGTTCATTTTGTTATAATTTTTTGGGTTAGCAATTAGTTAATTAATAATAATTATTCATTCAATTTTCTTGTTAATGATTTGACATCAATTATTTATTATACTTTCGGCAAAACTTAACCTATCGCTTTAAATTATTACAATTTGCACCATTTTAACGTTTGTATTTTTATTAATAAAATATCTATTATCTATGAAACATCAATAGCTATACAGATTATACATGTTTAGTTTACAGATTTATATAATTCATTCAACGTGTAAAATATCTATTTAAAACTGATATAATATAGAAACGCTAGAAATATTTGATTAATTTTACTAGTTTACTCGTGGTTATTATATATTTTGTGTGCATATAATGCATTTTAAATACTTGAAGTCTCGTTATCACATTATTAGCAAAAATAAAAATACACTGGTAAAATAAACAAGTAATGATTTTTTTTTACAAATTTTCTATGAAAAGCTAAGCTTCAATTAAAATATATACATAGAAAAAGTATTATTTATAAATTTAGCGAAAAATATAATAACGTAAACGTTCAAGAACTAGAAATTTTATGTTTTTGTTTCAATGTCAACTGTCAAACTGAAACTTATTAGTGGGAAGTCTCACGGTTTACGTGATTATTATTTATATAATTTATGAATTAAAAAATATTTTATATTCTTTAGTATCGTTATGGTAGGTCATCTGATGTTATTAAAAATGTTACACTGCAAATTGCATAAGCGCAAGAAGATTCTAAGAAATAAAAGAACATACTTATCTGAAACATTAAACGGGACAGAAACATCATCGATTAAAAAAGAAATTAATGATTTTGATGATGTTCAATACACATGTAGAGTTTGTTTAAAAGAAGGAGACATTCCAATTTATGGTAATGAAGTATCGGAAGATATTTCTGAACCTCTTAGTTCCTTTAGTGCCATTGAAATTAGCCCTCATGATAATCATCCTAAGTTTCTTTGTCAATCATGCTATTCTCTTCTCCAAGGCGCTATATTACTAAGGAAAACCGCCCAACAATCTGATATACTGCTACAACAACGTCATGAAGATATCACTGATAATGAGGATAATTTAGATACAGATAATAATTTTGATACTTATAATGTTGAATCATTTAAAGAACAAATTAACGATTACCATTGCAAAAAATGTGCCTTAAGCTTTAAAACATTTAAAGAATATAGTGAACATAGACTTTCAGAAGAACATGAAAATATGAGACAGACATGCCCGATTTGTAATAAATCATATGCAACACTTTATTTTAAACGACATTTATCTTTACATAAACTAGACACCTCGTACATGTGTGATATATGTGGAAAAAAATTTATAGTACAAGGTCAGTTTGCGAGACATAGGATGACTCATTTTTACAATCTGCCATTTAAATGCTCTCTTTGTCCTTACAGAGGTCGATTTAAGGAGTCATTGAAAATGCATATGCGTTCTCACACTGGTGAAAAGCCATACCATTGTAGTCAATGTCCAGGAAAATTTGTTAACAAGAGTAATTTAAATAAGCATATTTTGACTCATAAAGGAGATCATGATTTTAAATGCGAGTCTTGTGGTCGAGGATTTTACACTAAAAGAGACTTAGATTTACATTTTAAAGTTGACCATACTGGCATAAAAGATCATGTATGCAGTGAATGTGGTAAAGCATTTGGTTATCGAAAACAGATGATGAAACATCAGCTTAAAGTTCATAAGAGAGAAAAGTTAAGAAGTGGCAGGACACCATTATATTTACAATTAGAATCTAAGAAACAGCAAGCAATAATTAAACCAGAATAGTATTATCATAATTTTATATGAGATATATTTAATTAACCAATTTACCACATTTTTTTAAAATAGCTTTTAAATAAAAATTTTACACCGTTTTTAAATAGTTGTTGTCAATTACCTTATAAATATTTTTTAATACTTATACCACCTAGCTACCCTTAGAACATACTTTTGCGGCCAATGTCTTTTCTGTGATCACATAAACATGGGTTTATGTTATCGTAGAGAAATAAAAATATTACAATAAAAACTAAGCTTTTATGCAGTCATCCTTAATATATGGAATAAAGCAATGCATTTGACATTTTTACTGTTAGTTTTTTGTATGTATACATATGTTAAGGAATATTGTTACCTTTTAATCCATATAGCTAAATAAAATTGAAGTGTCTGTTTGTAATATCAAAATAACAGCTTTTTACTAAATGCATATGGAATTATATATGATACTTATAAAAACATAATTTCTAAAAATTTTGTCCGTTTGTTCCGGCTAATCCACGACGCGGCTAGACAGATTTGGACGGGACTTTTCACGGGTAGATAGCTGATGTTATAAGAAGTAACTTAAAGCTACTTTTATTTAAGAATTAGGATTCCGCTAAAAAAATCAAAACAACGCACTCGACCGAAGCGAGGGTGAAGGCGCTAGTGCTAATTAAAATTGTAAATCGATTTTCATAGTTCTCTTCAAAAGTCTCCTTAAGATTCATTCGATGTACATATATTTTTCGTTAAAAGTCATAAATTTAAAAAACCCCGACCATCTTATACCGATTTTCAATCAAACATAGCTAAGAACACTCCCGACTAAATCGCCTTTCAAAGAAAAAATATAAAATAAAAACTGTTCATCCGTTCGAGAGCTATGATGCCACAGGCAGACATACACACAGACACGTCAAATTTATAACACCCAGTCGTTTTTGTGTCGGGGGTTCAAAAGCAATAAATAATCCTTCGGCCACCTGAGTGTCGTAGTTGATAAGCGATACTGCGAGTTGCGACGCCCCTTTATGACTGGGAAGGTTCCGTTGGGTTTTAGTGGGTAATATAATTGACTACTGGTTTTTCTAGCCGGTGAGTTTCCATATAACGAGTTTATATGTAGGCAATATGCGTAAATGCATTTCTCCAATGATAAGACCTTAACTTTTTCGTTCTCTATCTATAAAAATATTACTTATAAATAAATAAATGGATTAAATTAAAGACAACCAACCCTAGTACCACATGTTGCTGCGAAGTACGATTTCTCGACTTATATGTGATAATCGCGTGGCGATTATTAACATTTTTTCGCTCGAAAAAAAATCCATTTAAATGCACCTAAGCCACTATTACACCTCTTTTATATTTTATTCCAAAATCAAATGACAAAGCAAAAAATTATTGACACAAAGAAAAACTGTATAACAGCGAACGAAAATTTACAATTCAAACATTCAAAAATTACATTAGAACTTTAGAAATATGGCAAATGAGGCGGAAGAGACTGTACGTACACTATCTATGCATAAAGGAGTAGTTGGTGTGATAGTTGTTAATGGGGAAGGCATTCCTATAAAAACAACATTAGATAACCATGTCTCAGTCCAATACGCGGGCTTGATGAGTGCTTTAGTAGATAAAGCTAAGGCTGTAGTAAGAGATCTTGATCCTACGAATGATTTGACATTTCTACGTATACGAAGCAAGAAAAGTGAAGTATTGGTAGCACCAGATAAAGATTTCATACTAATTGTGGTTCAAAGTCCAGCTGACTGACGAAGGCTTTTGGCGTTAGGCCATTTATATATTTTTATTTTGTTACTGTTTTAACGTTATTGGTTAATTAAGTTACTTTATAATGTTAAAATAATATTAAGATCTCGTTTATGGGACCTTTGATTAGTCTTAAATCTTAATAACTTATGGTTTCTTGAATAATAAACAGATATTTATTTATAGTTTGTACATGTATCTCGCCATTTAATGAATACATATTATTTTAATGCTATTACAAGAGAAATTATCTATTGTGTTGTTATAATTTTAGATATAATAAAACAACAAATACAGGAAACCTTTTTATTAATTGTCAATAAATAATGGAATGAATCATTTAAATTAGTTTCCAAAATTATTTCCATAACCGCGGCCTCGATTTCCAAAACCACCTCTACCTCTAAATCCTCCACCGTTTCCGAATCCTCTTCTATTTGCAAATCCACCTCTACTGGCAAAACCACCTTGATTAGCGAATCCGCCTCGATTGCCGAACCCGCCTTGACTACCAAATCCGCCCCGATTACCGAATCCGCCTTGATTACCAAACCCGCCTTGATTACCGAATCCGCCTCTCGGACCATTGGTTCCCCATCCTCTGAAGTTACCTCGCTTTGGCCCGTCGGGTCGGAAGGAAAACGTTGGTGCTTCACGCTGTATTCCGTGGTCACCTGCGTCTATTACGCACAGTGCTTTAACGCAATCGAGTACCTGGAATTAAAAACAAATAATGAAAGAATTAAAACCTTCTTTCTTGTTTTTTTTTATCGATCGAAGACGATCTAAGTTAGTAGTAAGTTAGGTTAATGTCTACATTAGTCTCGCTATAAATTTTAATAATTTTATAATCGCAAGAAAAATATATTTCTTTTGTGTGTAATGTAACTACAAATGTACGGTTTCCGGGTTTTCCCCTTTACTTGTGCTTTATCAAGAAGTATCCTATAGGTTTTGATTCAGTTTGGAATGCTAATATATACGGGATACACTGCCGTATCTTTTGATTGCGTTAACTTAGAAGTTGGATTTTTTACAGCTCCAAGGATTTGCAGACCTGAGTATTTGATATCAATCTTAACTTGATACCTTCAAGCGTTCCTAAAAAAAGGCTTTGACAGACAGACAGACGGGCGAAAACCAAAGTGACCCTTTAAGAGTTCCGTTTTGTTCTTTCGCGGTACGGAATCATAAATAATAATTAATAAAACAACATCACTATAACCTTCTGTTCATCGGGTGAGAAGATCAAAGCGCCATCTGGTTCACCGGCAGCTCGTTCTACTATCTTCTCTATGGCCGGTCGTAGGGCCGTCACCAGAGCGGCGGTGCGCGGCGACATGTCGAAGTTGAGCCAGTTGTCTAGACGTACTACATTGTCGATCTACGGGAGAGAAATAACGATAATTATTTAATTTATTTTAAAAAAACTTTATTTCATCAACATAAATCATTAAATTAAGTACATTTCTAGTGTTAATTTAATCCTAGAAGTACATATTATATACTATTATATTTGTTTAACAAGTAGGTACACAGACTTATATAACACTTAAAGCAAAACGTTACATGTGCATATAAATAATTATTATCTATTAATTATTGAACAGTAGGTATATCATTTAAAGTATGTAAGCTTTAGAAAAACGATTAGATTTATATCATAATTTTAAACAAAGAAAAATAAACCGTGGTCGGTAGATGTAAATAAAATACCAACATAAAGCAGTAAGATCGTACCATGTTTTCTATCGCACACGCAAGCGAGCGAGCGAGCGAGGCGAGAGAATTGTTTAATTAAAAAAGTATTTGAATACTTTCTTAGATTTACATTTGCAAATATTTGACATTTTAAATAAACTCTGTAATTAATATAATAAAACCTAATAATAAAAGTAAATTACAGACCATTAGATGTATTTAGTTTTTACTTATGAATCGGAAAGTCGGCAGAGCATTGTATCTATACAAACCTACGCCTTCAAGTTATTTCTAAATAAAAAACACGTTATTTCTGATCTTCTTCAAAAAGAAGAATAAATTAACGCACACATTTTCGCATTTTAAGAATAAAAAAAATAAATATTGTTTGTTTGTAAACGTGTCACTTGAGAATGGAACTGAACCGATTCGACCAATTTTAAAATACTCCGTATACGGTTTTAGGGGAAAAATTGGAAAAATATTATATAATATTTAATAAAATATTAGAAATTTCGTAATGCGGGATAAACTTAAATGGCTTTACAAATTTTACAACTACGTTACATTTTTTTGTACGAACTGATAAATAAAAAAAAACATTCTGAGGTCAGCCGCACTCATAACCTTCCTCATGAATCACTTCATCTATTGGTGAAAACCGTATAAAAATCTGTTCGGTAGTTTTTGAGTTTATCGCGTTCAGACAGACAGGCGCTGCGGGGGACTTTATTTTATAATATGTAGTAATAGGAATCGATATTATTGGTCTAAATATCCGAAGTAAGTTCGTCTTCGGTTATCTACTTACGAGATAAGGAGTATTTTATATAAATATAATATATAACAGATGAGTTTTATTAATAAAATATGGTCAATGGCCTATTTACTAAAAAATAATGTAATAATGATTAAACATTTTTCATTTACCGTACCTATATATTTTACGTAGACATTAGACAGGTATATGGAGAAGAGGTTGCCTATTATGTCCATCTCGGAAATAGCTATATCCATTCGGTCTTAACTTAAATTTATTATGTTACTGCGTAAAGCTATAACAAAAGAACACTCAAAAGTTACCGATTTTCATAAATTATAATATTTATGGATAAGATATAGTGCACAAAACTGATATAGGTACAGCAAAACTTTTGTGTAAAATATCTTTAAATTATACGTTAACTCTTTTCATCTTACTAATATTATAAATGTGAAAGTTTAGATGTTTGGATGTTTGTTAATTACGCCAGAACGGCTAAACGAATCTGGAAGGAATTTGGTGCAGAAATAGATCATAGTCTGGAATAGCACATACGCTACTTTTCAACCCGGAAAAATGTATGGTTCCCGTGGGATAGTTGTGTTTTTGTTTTTCTAGGGGCAACGAAGCGAGAGTGAGCCGCTACTTTAACATATTTTTATGACTCCGTAATTGAAACAATAAAACGAACGGTATGGTTATTTAAACTATAATGGCTTAACATTATGACTAAAATAGTAACTTAGTTTAGTTAATAAAACCAAATTTATTCGCGTATCACTAAATATTTAATATTATTATTTCATAAATAACTCAGTTTATTTACGCAAATTTGTATGGCTCATACAAAAAATTGCGCGGAATCGAACCTGCAACTTTCATCATTGCTAGATAAGCTAAGCTTTAGAACAAAAAAGTGTAAAATCTATTCTTTAAACGTTTTCCTTATACGAAAACTCTTTTAATTAATGTAGCTATTATTATAAATACCAATTATGAGATATTCATGAAAAACAAAACCAAATACCGATATCAAATAAGTCCCGAAGCACCGTTTCAAAAGGAATCCCCGTATCTTTAAACGTTCCGGGTTTAACCGGAGATGACTTTACTAGCACAAACTTATCGTGCTGTTATAAATTACAGTTAATAATAAACACACTCTTAACTACAACGTAATAAAGTTCAATTTAACATGGTATAGTTTTGTCAATTGTAAATATAAGTTAGTCTATTCACACAACTGGGTCTATATAAGGGAACTATATTGCAAGGAGCAGTATACCTTCAGAGTCACTCGAATCTCATTGATTACTTCGAAAAAACCAGCTTTAATAAACTAAAAATGAATTTTGCAAAAATTTTGTTCTTTTTCGTCGCCTGCATTTTGGCTTTGAGCACAGTTTCTGGAGCTCCCAGCCCCAAGTGAAAGCTTTTTAAAAGAATTGTAAGTATATAATTTTTTTTAATATTTAGCTAATATTAAATGTTGCCAAGTATAATGTTTTCTTAGATTTACGCAAATATTTGACATTTTAAATAAAATAATCTTTTCGGATTTTTCTTCTTTTTTTAATAGCGACACTAAATATGATCAGCCCTTTTTTTAATAATAGTAAATAAGATCACTAGTTAATAAGGTTTTTTAATAAAAAAATAATTATAATAATAACAGCTAAAATTAAATATATAATAATCCATATTCAATTTTAAAAATTAATAAAATTAGAAAATGTTTAAAATTAAAGTTAACACATATTGTTAGATACTTTGGTACCATTTTTGTATTCATTTTGTTATTTTGTGGGTAGGCAGGCTGTCTGTAACAACTAATGCCTTTGAGATGTCAAAAAGGCTCTTCCGTGTCCATGATGGCTGTAAAGTATTGGAAACGTCAAGAACCAAAAATCAAAATGAATCCGCGAAAAAATTAGAAAAGATAATTTTATCTAATTAGTCAAGTTTTTTTTTATCGGTTCGAATAATAAAAATATAGCCGCTTAAGAAATCTAATGAAATAGGCACGCGCACTTTGATTTTATGATTTACCATTAAAAATTTTCAGTTTTTTTTATATTTATAAAAAATATTTAATTACTATTTTAAAAAGCATTAGGGAATAGAGTGTCAGTAATATTCAGACCAGGATTTTTATTCTTTATAAAAAAAAATTAAATTAAAGCTTATTGTCCTGAGTATATTTAATTTTAAAAAATTGATAATCTTTTTTTAAAGTATAACTTTAACTCCGCCCATGATACCCTATAACAAGAGCATAACAGACAGTTGGACAGATGCACATGCATATAGTGCCATTACTACCAACCACTATTCTCTTGATAATGCTATTTATTCCGATTATTTATTATATATTTTTTTACAGGAAAAAATCGGAAGAAACGTCCGCAATGGTCTCATCAAAGCGGGACCTGCAGTACAAGTTGTCGGCCAAGCAGCCGTCATCGCTAAGGGCTAAACGCCTTTAATATAAACCAAAGTTATTATATTATAGTATTTTTAAATGATATACTAGTCCTAAAATAAGATTATAATAAATATATTATTTATAATAAATTCAATAAAAAAAAAAAATTGACTTATTTTCTATCTTTAATAAATCGCAAATAATATTACTCCTATCTCCGAATCTATTGGACCGATTTAAATGAAATTTTGCATGGTGGTACCTTATATCCCCGGACAACGTCTTAGATATTTTTTATCCCGGAAAATATAATGGTTCTCGTGGGATAGTTAAAAAACTATTATAACTTATACAACTTATGCACCTAATTTAGTAAAATTTAACATTCTGATACCTTATATTGCCGGTCAAACAACCGGTTACTTTTCATCCGGGAAAAATGAACGGTTCCCGAGGGAACTAATAGATTTTTATTAGTGTTTTTCTAGAGGCGAACCCGAGCGAAGCGAGGGTGAGCCGCTAGTTTTATATAAAAATTATACTTTCTACGTTATGTATACAGATAAATAACATTGAAGTGTCTGTCTGTAATGTCAAAATAACAGCTTTTTACTAAATGCATTTGATATGCATACGGTACTTATACGAAAATCATTATTTTTTGTGTCTGTATATATGCTCCGGCTAATCCCCGATTGGCTGGACTGATTTTGACGGGACTTTCACTGGCAGATAGCTATGTTATAAGGAGTTACTTACAGCTACTTTCATTTTAGAAAAAGAATTAGGGTTTAAATTAAAACGTACCTAGGGACGGCCGAGGCTAAGTCGCTAGTTATAATGATGAATGATGATGAAGAATGATTCGCACATGAAAACGCGAGACTCAGGATTGAACCCGATTTATTCGGTTTTCCAGCGAGCACGTTCACACTGATCTATCACTGCCTTTGTGTATAATATAATATATAAAATATACTTTGTTCAGAATAGCTGAACTATGCCGGCGTTTTGTCAAAAAACTGATTTGTTACGTTTACACGGCTAACGGTAGCTAAACCTTAAGAGATACATCAAAACAATGTGCCAAAAAAATTTAGGTCTTAAAGAGGCTTACAGAAAAGTTTGCAATAATATGTGTCTAGTCTATCTCCTAAGGTACACTCACTGTAACTATTTTTATCACTTGAAAAGAGGTTATTTCAAGCAGTTCATTCCAGAAAGATCCAAAACAAAACAGCATCTGGAAAACATCTAGCAATATGTACAAGTCAGCAAGTCCACATACCCACTCCACCTTCCTGCTGGCGAACAGCAGCAGGTGCAGCGGCGCCACCATGCTGGTCTGCTTGCAGCTGATGGCGCGCGTGCGCACCTTCTCCCCGAACACGAACATCGGCGACGGGAAGCGCTGCTCCTGGTTTGAGCAGTTCACCGACGTCTTGTGGATGAGGGCGGGCTTTCCTTCCGTTGTTAGCACCTGGATTTGATTTAGCAAAGTATAGATTTTTAAGAGGCGATTATATTATATAAATATTACACAATTTATGTGTTTAAAAATAATTTATGATAAGAAATCGTTAAATAAAAATGTGCAACTGACCAAAACTAAAATGCTGTAAATGAAAAAATTAGCGCGTGTGACCTTTACGCGCGGTTGAAGTAGAACTTCTTTGACGCTGTGGCAGATATAGCAATTAAATTAAAACAAATCAAAATATAAATATAATATTCCATTATAAAATTATTAGTAATAAATATTCATTTTTATAATTAATCCGTATTATATATAATATTATAAATGTTAAAGTTTGTGAGTCTATATTAATGTTTGTTACTCTTTCACGTCAGAACGGCTAAACGGATCTTGATGAAATTTGGCGCAGAGATAAATTATAATCTGAAATAAGACATAGGCTACTTTTTTTATTTACCTTACGTTTTCCCTGATGCAAGCAGACATTAGGATACAACCCCATACATAGCAAAGCTATGACCAGGTCCAGCACCGGATCTGGTACATTGGGGTTCCATCGTTGTGGGATACAACACTCTTCTGGGAAACCTATTGTTGTTGTTAATATGTCTGAAATAACAAAAATATATACATTCCACTAATAATAATAAGCGATTTCAATTAATTTTGATCTTATTATTTTTTAGTCATCTATATTTCCTGTCACGATTTCCACTTCTTGTACCAACAACTGTTCTGTACAATATCCATATAACATATTAATCGGTTACAATAGTTTAATGAAACAAATCAAAAAATCAATTTCTTTATAACTGACTAGAGACTCACCCTCCCTTCGCTCAGGTACATCCCTAGGTCGATTCCCCATACAGACTTTCATCCCTATTTTAACAAAGGGATGATTTCAGGGATAAACATTATCCTATGTCCATCCCAAAAAAAAAAACAAAAAATAAAATCAACAAACAACATACTGATAAGTTGGTACTTCGCCTCGTAGGTAACACGCAGAGTGGTTTGCTGCACGCCCTTCCACTCGCACCACTGCATCTCCGCGTCCTCACCCTTCGCACGCTCACGCTCCCACATCTATTAAAGGGTTGGTAATTATTTAATTACGTTTTAATATAAAAGGTAGTAAAAACCATTTAGGTATAAGGCGTTCATTAAAAAAAAATCATGAAAATTGGCATTAAATTGGTCAAGATATCGTGTAACATAAAAACAACATAACATAAAGCAATCGAGACACTGGAGGTCTGTTAAAAAACGCAAGAATTGAAAAAAAAACACATATTTTCAAAACTCTATCATTAATGACAGGTATTCACTAATCGAATTTTTATCGGACACATAAAGAATATTAGCTTTCCCCTTCAAAATGCCCTCTCAAACGTATAGATATCTTCAATAGTAAAAATTTTACAGCTAAAATTGATGAAGCATAAAAATGACATTTCTTGTAAGTCTAAATTCGGATAGGCGGCAACGGGCGTATGTAAAAATCAATTAAGCGTTTTAGTTTTTTGGGATCCTAAGAAACAGTCCCTCAAAATTAGAACAAAATCTAAAATTAGTTGACATTGCCAAACAGACGATTTTATATTATGGAATGACTCATCTGCCAATAAAAGTCCCGTTAACTACGGTCCAGCCGTTAAAAAATTTAAGATTGTGTTTTGCTTATATAATTCCATATACATTTAATAAAAACCTGTTATTACGACATTACAAACAGACACTCCAATTTTATTTAACTGTAAAGACAACATTACAATACCTGAAAAGCATTCAACATAGCGACATGATCTGAAGCGCGCTCGCCCGCCAGCGCCCGTTGGTGGCCGCTGAGCCTCCGCCTGCCTTCTATGGTGAATATCTCTGGGAATGTCGTGGAGTTTGCTGCCATGGTTGTTAGAGCGTCCCCTACGCCCAGGACGAAGCCTAGTACCATCATCTTACCAAGACGGGGTTCTGGAAATACGTTTGAATGTACATATATAGATAGCTCTAGGACTTTTCTTTGCCAGCCCCTGATGTGGCGGTGAGGGGGTATGGAGGGGGGATGGGGTATGGAGGGGGGATGGGGTATGGAGGGGGGATGGGGTATGGAGGGGGGATGGGGTATGGAGGGGGGATGGGGTATGGAGGGGGGATGGGGTATGGAGGGGGGTGGGGTATGGAGGGGGGATGGGGTATGGGGGGACGGGGTTCTTGCCCAACAGTAAAAAAGGGCTTTTATCGATTTCAAGCTACTCAAGGTTATTGGGGCTAAAAGGAACTCTTAATTAGAGAAGTTGTGTTTTGAAATTATTGGTTAATGCTATCGATAGCTCCCCTGTGGGATATATATCCCCTGAGGCGATAGGCCTGTGGCCAACTGTGGGGCGTTAAAAAGGGAATACATACAGAAAAATCAGTTTGACATTAATTATAAACTTTAAGTACCAGGAAACCAAACAAAGAGGCCAAACAAAGAGGCTCACCTATAGGCAGTTTAGCGAGTATAGTTCCTAATGGTGTGAGTGAGTCGTCGTTGTTGTCCAAACAGCCAAGTTCCCGAAGAAGTGCTTCGGCTTCGATGACTGCGTCTAGTGGAGGAGGTTCAGGAGCTTTGGAGAGGAAGTGGCCTATGTTACCGAGACGTAGGAGTTTTATACTGAAAAATATACATACATTTAATGATATATTTAGACATACATAACATAATATGTTATTGTGCGACAATTTCTAAAGTTACAATTAATGACAAATATAGGTCAAATCGTATAATTACATAAAATCTAATATACTATATTCAAATTTAATAATAATTTATAAATAATAATAAATACTCTTGCTTGTTTAATGGAATAATTAAAAAAAATGTATACTATTATTGTTATTATGTATTACGATATTTACATATTTCTTTTTACACAGCAAGTGTAAGAGTAAATTATAAACGTCAAAATAATAGTGACCCAAATGAAATATTTTCAAATTGTAAAATTATATCAACTTCATAAGATTTCGGTACTAAAATATCCGTGTCAACATATCCAGGTTAACATTATCATGTTAACATAGCTATTTGTTATTGATTATTTTGGAAAAATAAGAATAGGAAATTATTTTATAATCTTTATTGCTTCTAAATTAAGTACATATATCAATATTTTCTATATCAATATTTTTAATGTAATTTCTTTTTGATTAAGAAAATGAATATAAAAAAGTGTAAAAATAGGTGGGAAATTCAAAGTCGTTGAAACGCAACGCTATTGGTCAGCCCGATTGTGACGTCAGTCTATTATAATAAAGCGCTGTTGTTTGGTGTTTGCGAATGACACTAACCTATTTTTGGAACTAATCTAGACCTGTTCATTGGTCAATTGCAATGTAGACACAAACTGACTGTCGTCACGTCAAGCGAGCTAAAATGGTTGACGTTTAAAGTATCCTTATAAGTACTATATGTTTTAATACTATTAATCCAGTCTCTTAGTGGAATAACTCAAAATATCACCGGCTTCAACGTGACATTGGCGAAATAATTTGTGCTTAACTGGCACGCATTAAAGCCATTAATGTAAAGAACTTTATATTTTTAAATAATTTTTTGTTTTCTTTCTTTCAGTAAGCTATTGTGTAAAAAAATACGCATATTCCCTATTGGCATCGTACAAGTATTTACTTTACAAAATAAATGAACTTAAATCCGATAGTATTAGTAAAATTTCTCGTGTCACAGTGTCAGTAACAAAACTCCTCCGAAACCGCTTGGCCTACTCTTATGAAATTTTGTGTGTATATTCAGTAGGTCTGAGAATAGGACATAAACTATTTTTCATACCCCTAAGTGATGGTGGTAGTGGTTCAACACATTTTTTTTGACAATTTTTTTTATGTTAATTTTTTTATGATTCGGCATAAAAAATACATACAAACCTAAATTTTCACGCTAGTATCTATATAGTTAGTTTACCTCAAAGCGAGCTCGTGCAGCGGCGTGCGGAACATCTCCGCCGTCTGGTGCTCGTCGAGGCGGTCGAAGCGCGCGCGCGAGCACAGCGTGAAGCACACGCCCGGCCGCACGCGACCCGCTCTGCCTTTACGCTATAATAACATGCAATATTATATATTTTTTACTTCCTCTTGTGGTAGCCTATTGGTGACTAAGTGAAGCGGGTTCAAATCCCGGGTCTCGCTCCCTTGACATTTTCATTTGCGAATCATTTTCAAAATGATTACCAGTTTAGTAAGCTTTATACAACTAAATAAGAGTATAAAAATCCATATAGTAGTCGACCACCATCGATTTTAAAGGAAATGCGGATGTCATAATCAAAAAAATAACTAATTCTTATTTAATTATGGCGAAAGTATAATTTTATTGATTTTTACTAATCATAAATATTTTAAATGATTTCTTTATATATTACAGCGTTCTTTAAAAATCGCTTTAAGCATAGTTGCTATCAAACTCTACGAATGAAGGGCAAAAAATGCTCTTCATATACCATCAAACAGCACAATATATACTTACATACATACATAAAAAGTTTCTGTTAACTTCATTCAGTTAAAAATAAACCTGATGTTTATAAAGTAATTTAAAAAACAAACAAAGAATTTTTTAAATTTACCTGTTCTAGATTAGTCCGACTTGCCCAAACAGTGGCGTATGACGTCATATTGTTGTGAGATGTAAATAACTTAATTTTGGCTTTGCACGAATCTATTACGTATACCACATCGTTGATCGTAATCGATGTCTCCGCTATGTTTGTTGATAAGATGATCTACAAAAAACAGTAATTTTAAAATATTAATGTACCACAAAAAGACCACTTACGGGTTAAATTCATCATCATCCATGTCGGTATAGAGTTATAATCCGTATTAATATTATAAATGTGAAATTTGTAAGTATGGATGTTTGTTACTCTTTCACATCAGAACGGCTGAATGGATCTGGATGAAATTTGGCACAGAGATAGATTACAGTCTGAAATAACACATAGGTTACTTTTTATACCGGAATAATGTAAGGTTCCCGTAGGATATGTTTGTTTTTGTTTTCCTAGAGGCGAACCCAAGCGAAGCGAGGGTGAGGAGACAAAAAAAGGGGCGCTCAAATATTCAAATGAGCGCTCCTTCGGTAATTGTGTATCTAGTACTTTCACATAAAGTGTCATTTTCATTTGTGTACAAAATTTAAAGCGACACGCACTGATTTGAATATCTGGTAAAGGATAGGCTTCCTCCTGACAGATTTGTTTTATGATTTTTTTAAATAATGCATATTGTACAGATAAATGATGTGAGAGTACATCGATAATAACCTACACATATAATAAAATTGTAAGCAAGCCGAATCTGTACATTAAATCTTTTTTTGAAAATTTTATTGAAATAGACATTAGTATGATACAGAGGCCGAATCTATAGTTTTAGAATTTTTGTGTATCTGTCTGTTTGTTACCACATCACGGAAAAACCACTGGAGAGTTTTTGATGAAAATTGGTATGATGGTAGCTGGTTATCCGGGTCAACATATAGGATAGTTTTACTGCGGGAAAATAACTCATCTTTGAGAAATCTATACTAAACATTGAAACGTAACGTAACGTGAGTTGCTAGTAAATACATATAATTAGTAAATTATTTCCAATGCATCACAAATCACGATCCAAAAACACGCAAAATTTCTCCATTCTTAAAGTAGGAATATTTACACTACTAATTATACCTTAGTGAGTCCAGGCGGGGGTGTAATGAAGACTTTCTTCTGATCATCCCTCGGGATTTGACTGTGCAGAGGTAAGATGATGTATTTTTCGGTATTACCAAATGTTTTGCTTTGCGACAAATGTTTCATTAGCGCAAATATCAGATTCCACCCTGGCAGGAACACTAGCACGGCACCCTCGTTGCCTAGATTCTCTATGTATAGGAGGATTGCTTCAATTAACTCGAAACTTAGCTGGAAATATTTTATTTAATGTATGTATGTATATTTTATTTAATATATAAACGTATGTATAATGACATTAATTTAAGGCAGTGGTAGCCCAGTATTAACGCGGTCGCTTGGGAAACCGCGAGTTTTCAAAAGACATTCTCAGTCCGCCCGCACTTGGCCAGCGTGGTGGACTATGGCCTGATCCCCCTCGTATTAAAGGGAGGCCCACCCCCAGCAGTGGGAAGTTAAAATACATTCAATTACAGATTCAAAGTTTGACAATTTTAGTACTTATACTAGCGGACCCGACAGACGTTGTCCTATCTACACGTTTTTAATTTGAAAATTTCAAACTTTTTTTAATATTTTTTTTGATGAAAATTATTATTCAAATTGTGAATCTAAACCATTCCCAGATCCCCTTGAACACACACAAAAAATTTCATCAAAATCGGTCCAGTCGTTTGAGAGAAGTTCAGTGACATACACACTCACAGAAGAATTATATATATAAAGATAAAAATATCTAAGAAATAGAGTCTTGGACTGTAGTAATAAAATGTCATGTAACCAATAGATAAACATTATAATAAATGAACTTACATCTTTTTCCGACAATTTCGACATGGCTTCCATGGTTTTTGGTGAATAATTGTCTCCTAATCCCGCGTGCATATTTAAATCTTCCTCTTCATCAACACCCAAACCTGAACAAAATAGATATAAAAGTTATGAATACATCATTTAAGCTGTAAAAGATGTATAATTTACATTTAACTTAATACTTTCTTAGATTTACGCGAATACTTGACATTATAAATAAAACTATCTTTTCGGATTTTTTCGCGAATATATTTTGATTTTTGGTTACCGACATTTCGAATGCTTTACAACAATCATGGTCACGGGAGAGACTGAGGTGTTAGATGTCTTTAAGATATTATATAGTTGTTACAGACAGCCTACCCACAATTAACAAAATGAATTCAAAAAAATCAAAAATATGAAAAATGGCACCAAAGTAGCTTACAATATTTTTAACTTTAAACTTACTTTTTTTTAAATAATAAAAATGTTTAAAGTTAAAAATATTGTAAGGTACTTTGGTGCCATTTTTCAATTTTTTGAATTCATTTTGTTATTTCTGGGTAGGCTGTCTGTAACAACTATATAATACCTCTTTATTCCGGGATAAAAAGTAACCTATGTGTTATTCCAGACATAATTCCATAATCTATCTCTGTGTCAAATTTCATCCAAATCCGTTCAGCCGTTCTGGCGTGAAAGAGTTACAAACATCCATCCATCCTCACAAACTTTTACATTTATAATATTAGCATGTATATGGATTGCAATTAAACCGGAATATATTATTAATACTCTAAAAACAGACCAATGTCCAGCATAGAAATTTACAACTAGGTTCATCGTCATCCTCACCATAATATCTACTGGCTTTCTATCCCGAAGACTTTCTCTTACTATGGTCTAGCTAGAAGGAAATGGGTAGGTTTCCCGCGAGATTTAAGTTTTTTGAATTTCAATGATACGTGGTGCGAAGAAATGAGGGTAAATGGATAATAAAAATTGGAAACATATTATTTGCAATGTATCCTATATAACATAATAATATGCAAAATTGCTTCATTCTAAAAGTGTGAATATTCAAACATTATTAACTAGACTTGGGCGGAAATGATATAAAATTGAGAGTTTTTTCAGAAGGGACACACCTATATAAATAAACTTAAAAAGCAAAGCTTTATTTTATAAATACATTGGATTCAAATCGTTAGAGCCGTTTCCAAAATACACGAAATAAATTTACATATACATCCATATATGCAAGAATTGTTTATTTAAATTGATAATAGATTGGGAAATTTGCAGGGAGATGATGATTTAATACTATAAGATAAGATATATTAGTAAGTTTAGAGGGGGGTGTAATTGAGACTTTCTTTTTTTTTATTTGCCTGTGCAGTGATGAGTTGATTAAACTTATTGAAGTTATATTTCTTTTGGCCCGTTTAGAAAAAATTATGAGTCAATTTTTTACGATGCCTGCACACATCGACAGCCTAAACGCGACATGATGAAGTTAGCTGCATTCCTTTTACAAACAGAGAGTTAAGACATATGAGATGAAATCTTTAGCTATTTTTGTTCTGTTGCGCCAAAGAAGTATAACTTCTTACGTGCCTACAGACCTAAGTACACACACACGTTTTTATGAAATTACAACTACCTTCATCCTCATCCTCATCATCATCTCTACTGGCTTTCTTTCCGGACGACTTCCTCTTCCTTGAGTCGGGTGGAGGCATGAAGTTCGTGAGTTCTACGCAGTCTTCTAAGAAGTATTGTTTCACTGGGTATGTGCGTCCGGGGACCTTGAAGTTTATTGTATTAAATAAAGTGAAAAATATTAGTGCTACTATACATTTTTAATATCTATTTATGTAATTATAGTTATTATTAATAAATGGGAGTAAATTTATTACTTCTAACCTAATTATTTTAAGGTTTAAAAAATCTAAATACAAGTGTTTCACAGACTGTTTTCAAAATTTAGTTACTCTTAAAACATGTGAATAACAAGTTAAAATCAGCATCTATTTAAAATATACGATCATATCAAACGTGATTTAAAATTTTCACTGCCTATTTTCATATTGACATGATACCAAACAAAAATTAACTAATAAAAAAAAACAAATATGAAATAAAATAATCTTTTAAGCAAATTATATAAAAAAAAGTAGATTTAAAAAAAAACCGCTTGACCCTTTTCTATAAAATTTAAATGGGACTGGAAAGTATACCCTTTGAAACAAAAAATCCAAATCGATTCAAGCGTATTCGAGTAATCGGCGAACATACATAAAAAAAAAAGATTTCGACAAATTGCGAACCTCCTCCTTTTTGGAAGTCGGTAAAAAAAATCGATGTTGCAATACTCTATAAATACATACATTCATAATTCATTACATACCTCTATAACTGGACAGTTTCCGAAATAGTTGACAAACAGTGTAGTATCCACAGTAGCCGACATAAGGATGATTCTTAGATCGGGATATGTGTGAGCCATGTCCCTTAGCAGGATCAAAGCGAAATCAGTATCCGCGTCACGTTCGTGGACCTGGAAGAGACACAAATTAATTTGGATTCTTTACGTCCAGAAAAATGGAGTAAGACACTAATGAACTGGTATACACATGAAGAGAAAAAGGGATAGACGGTAGACCATTCCAAAGATGCGATGATGACCTAATGGCTGCGGTAGGCGGCACAAATTTGGACCAGACTAGCTAGAGATAAACAGTTATGGAGGAAATTGGAGGCCTTTGCCAACAAAGGGCAAACAGACAAGGTTGTCGAGACAGAGTAACCTATACATATAATAAAATTCTGAGTCGAATCTGAACATTAAATATTTTTCGGAAACTCTTATTGAAATAGACATTTATTACAGAGGCCGAATCTATAGTTTTTAGAATTTTTGTCTGTCTGTCTGTCTGTTACCGCATCACTGAAAAACTACTGGAGGGATTTTGATGAAATTTGGTAAGGTCATAGCTGGTTATCCGGGTCAACATATAGGATACTTGTTACTGCGGAAAAATGTCTCATTTCTAAGAAAAAATACAAAAACTACAATGTAAGAGTATACTAATATGTTAAATTTTGTTTTTGGTCACCTGAACGCGGACGGAGCCGCGGGCAATGCTAGTGTACCTATAAAATTAAAAAAATCCAATAAAAAATATATATATTAACCTCGTCTACTAAAACATGGCTGACCCCCCTCAATCCGCCTTCAAGTTTCCGCAGCAACACTCCCACAGTGCAGAACAGTATGGACCCATACGGACGTGGCAGCACCGACTCGAATCTCACAGAGTACCTAAAAAAACGATATGTAAAGGATTTCATTTAGCAATTTACGAATTAAAGTCCATAAAGTCTGATTCTATCTAGAACTATCGTGCGGATCGTGAGGTTGAGGTGCATCAAACTGACATATTTACTTTCATATGACAGTTGATATCTACCTTTAAGTTAGCTTTGTCTTTGATGCCGATTTATATAGAGTAGCATAGTATAAAATCACACAATGATCTTAATGAAAATGACCTTAAATGCACGTTTTGTCAAAAAAATTTTTTTTATTAAGTACGGATCTTAAGCACTCGTGTCATCTCGTGTAAAATTACAGGTATGAATATACATCAACCCAAAGCCGTCTCTAGAATGTCATATAAAACTACGTATATCCAGACGTCTTTGTTAGACTATTGTATGGACTAGCAATCTGTCGCTCGACATTGCCTTCGTTTGGACTACTGCATGGACAAGTAGACTGTAGCTTGACATGCCTTCGTTAGAGGACTGTATGGACTAGTAGACTGTGGCTCGACATTTCCTTCATTAGACGACTGTATGATCTAGTACACTGTGACACGACATTGCCTTCGCCAGACGAGTGTGTGGAACAGTAGAGTAGTGCGCTCACCCCACACTCTCACCGAGCTGCTCGCAGCGCTCGCTGGCGACGCGCTCGGCGACGCTGACGGCGGAGATGCGGCGCGGCTGCGTGACGCACACGTTGGCCCACGCACCCTGCCCGCTCGCCACGTAGTCGTCCAGGATGAACTGGCACACCTGCGCACAACACAACACTTCTTCAAGTAAAAATTCTTTAAGGTGCATTTACATCTGTTCAACAACTGGAGCAACGGATTGTCGTATGCAACACTTTTCAACAATGTTGTATGGTCAACATTGATCAACGTCTGTTGCAGCAACAGATTCGGCAGTTCCAATTTACATACGGAGTGTCTTATTTTATCGGTAAGTACATGTAGATTAAGTCAATATCTAAAAATTTAACCTACGAAATTAAATAAAAATGAAATTTTGAACAATTTTAAATCCGCTAGGAACGTTTGGCTAGGAAATTTAAAGTAGCAAACAGAAACAAAACATAACGATTTAGCTCATAAAGCAACAACGGGAAAAAATGCTTTATGTTTTTTAATAAAAGGTTGATTTTAAAATAAATATTATAAAACTTTAGAAATTATCGTACGTGTATGATGATAAATTGAAGATTTGTGACTTTATTACAAGGCTTTATGGTGTTGATAAGGTTGAAAATAAAACAATTATAAGACTTTATCTTGGTACGTTAGTATATAAATGTATAACTCGCGTCATCTAAAAAGAACGCTGGCTGTCAAGCTGCCTAGAAGCGATTTATCGGTCAAATTGGTGGTAAGAAGCGGGGCGCGGAGCGGCTCGGGGCGGCGAGGCACGCGCCGCATGCTTGCCGGCGCGCTATTGGTTCATCAGTTCGAAATACCATCGCGCACACAAAAATTTTAATTACGAAATGGAAATTATATATAGAAAAGAGAGAAAAATTATTTTTGACGTATATTGTTTTATAAAGAGAGAGTCTGATAATAATGCAGGTAATAATTTAAAAAAATGTATTAAACGTATTAATTTAATTTTTTGTAAGTAGATTAAACATTCTACACTGAATCAAACATATTTTAATAATGAATAGAATTCTATCTAATGATATACTATCTAATATATTCAACACTGCGTCCTCATCTAGCTTTCACGTCACCCACGACGATTTAATGGAAGGAGTTACAACCTTAGTTTAATTTGTTGTAGTTTGTTTTTAATTCTATTTAATGACAAAGGATGATGATTCTATTTAAAATAAAATAAAAGAATAATATTTTTATATAATATATTTTTCAATGTCCCTAACAATAATTAATATATGAAGCCACGAGCGAAATTCTATGAAAAATAAAATAATAGGCTTAGTACTTTTGTGCGCGAGTATTGGGTATATATGTATATATGTATGCGCAAACATACCCTCTCCACTTTCTTCCAGCGTTCTTTTTAGATGACGCGAGTTATAGCTGTATAGGTACATATTCGCGCGGACAGAATTTAGCTTCAATTTAGTATGTGACACGTTATCTAGTAGTATTGTCGCTCAAAGACACTTAAGCTACTGTTAGGCACGTAAGGACGCCGCACGTGAGCGAAGCAAGGGTGAGTCGCTTGTACTTATATTAGAATGAACAATCTATTTGTTTGTATGTATTAAATCTCTAAAACTACCAGACTGATTTGATTCTTTTTTAATTTTATAGCTTAGTACCTGGGCGACCGAGCTTCGCTCAGTATACAAGAATTACTCTTTTAAAGTATTAGATTAATTGAGTAAGGCTATCTATACATGCTGCGAACATAAGGACCGAATAATTAAAAATCAAAATTAGCTATTACCTGAGTAGTTTTACCGCACCCAGTGTTGCCGCGTATAATAATTACGGGATTGTCGTTAATAGCTTCCATTATTTGCGAGCGCATCGCATGCACTGGCAACTGTTCTCTTTCATGGACACTTTCCTAAAATAAATTAAATATTAGTATAAAATAAAATATAAAAAATGTAACCACACTAAGTAAATAAAAATCTATAAAGTGAAATAAAATGTTATAAAAATATAATAAGATGACTGAATTTATAACATTGCAACAATAAACTTTATTTTGATCATAAAGGTACACATAAATAATTTACCCATTGATTTAATTAACAAAATTACTAATGGCAACATTAAGTCAAAATTAGAATTTTTTTCTGTACTTAAATAGAAATACATATTATACTCGTATAATATCTAGTAGGTAAAATATTTAGTACCGAAATGTAGCATTACATAAATTTCAGTGATTTTTTATGTTATAATATATGTAAAACTTTTAATGATAATAAATAAAAAAAAGGCATAATTAAAATCGATATCACTAATTAATTATATATCATTAATTATCGACCTAATTATAAAATAAGTTAATATTGCACAAAATTATGTATATAAATACTGTACCTGGTAAAGAGTACTATTTTGGCAAACATCCCGATGATGTTTTTCCAAATCTGCACTAATATCGTCTAAGCTGGTAGTAGCCAAGGGACCCTCATCTGTATATAAAAGTGATTTTGCTTAATAAATGGCATAAATAACATTTTTCCACCTTATTTCTTATATATTGAAAGTAATTACTATGGCAAATTTGGTGAAATAATCATAAAAATCTGTTCTTAATTTATGTATCACTACAGTGACATATAACAAAATAAGATCATATACCAGAACTTGATGTCGACCAAACATTATTTTTGCTTGAATAATTATTTTAAAATACTAAAACATTATCTTTTGATGAATTAGAATGTTTGGGATTTTTGAAGACGAATCATATGAGCCAAAACTGTTGGGTTTACTACTAGCCACTAAAGAGTTCCACCTCCACTTCCACCATCTGGCTGCATCATCAGATCAGCTCCAAGATACCAAATTATAGTACTGCCATCCGAACTACACGTACATACAAAGTTTTATTTCGATACGACAATTACAAGTAGGTTAAAACTGACTTAGCTGATTTTTATCAGGTAAGTCAGTTTTAACGTTTTTTTAAATTTTTAATTTATACCTTTATTAGCAAAAGCTAATTAAAGTGTGCTAATGATAGATTATAAATTTAAAAAACCCCCGACCATCTTGGACCGATTTTCATCAAACAGCTAAGAACACTCCCAACTAATTTACCTTTCAAACAAAAAAAAACAAAATCAAAATCGGTTCATCCATTTGGGAGCTACGATGCCACAGACAGACACACACAGATACGTGAAACTAATAACACCCCGTTGTTTTGTGTTGGGGGTTAAAAAGTTTGAAAACGAATTGCTTGGTAATTGGCTAAAGTTATAGGGCAAACAAATAAAGGAAACTATGCGCATATAACAACTCACCAATATTACATCCAGTCCAAGCATTCCAATTGGCCTGCGGTGGTGACCAAGAGACAACACCAGATGGCGTTGGACGAGCTTCCCTCATAGCTTTCGCTCTGTCTACTTGCAACAATGTTACTCCTTGCCCCTCAGCATTCGTCTCTTGAGGTGCATTCACATCCACTGGTGTTATGTCTAGTGCTGAAATGTAAATAAGTACAATGATTATATATTTTGTACATTAGGATATTATTTTATTTTTCTATAAATAATCTCAGCCAGTCACACACAATGAGTCAATTAAAAATTAGACATTTATCATATAATTTTTATAAAATATAACTAGATAGCGACTCACCCTTACCTCGCTCGGGTTCATCCCTAAGTATGTTTTAACAGTTAGTATGAAATAGAAAGACTCTTGAAAAACAAAAACAAATCTATCCCGCGTTATGAAGGATAAAATATAACCTATATGCTATTCCAGACTATAATCTATCTCTATGCCAAACTTCATTCAGAACTATTTATTCATTCTTGAGTGATATGTAACAAACATCCGAACTTTTGCATTTATAATATTAATGGGATAGTTGGATTACTAATTTAGTATAGTAAATAACTAGAAATGTTAAGTCTGGATTTATTTAAATACCTTCAAATCCTAGGCAAAGTTGAATTTTTAAGTATATTATAATTATAAACTGTAACTATATAAAAATAATAACAAAATCTTACATTGTAAAGTATCCTCAAGTTGCTTTTCTAGTTCTGGACTAATCGCCACCTTATATGGTTTCATAATACCTTCAGATGACCTAAAAATAAATTTAAATTTATATTGCTTTACTATCAAATATGTAAATATTAGTAAGAAGGAAAATATAAAATTATATATAAATTATAGTAGATTGACATGACATTAGTTAGTCTTAGTGCTTATAAAGTATAATACGTGTAATAAAGTATTAAATTAATAAAATAAATAAATAAAGTAATAACTAAAACACTCACTCTATTCACATAATATTTGTGAGATACATACCTGTCCTTTTTCAATGTGCCACTAAACGCTTCAATAACACCAAGATGGTACAACTGCCTCACTAATGACAATGCACAAGATTTACTTGCAGTTTGTTTGTTAGATGCTGTTTCACGTCCTGTCACATTACGTCCTAATTGGCGAACGTATATAGACATCTCACAGCAAAAACTCCTAATAAAAAATAAATATATTAAAACATTGAAATAATAATTTATTTCAAATTATTTAAAAACAAAAACTTAATACATAACACACTTTCTTACCTATTTAGCAGTTGATTTTATATTATTGCTGTATGATTGGGCTTTAAATTATGCAAAAGAGAATATTGTATCCAATCAACAATTATTTAAAAAAAAATATCTACTACTTACCCAAACATGTTGAGGGCCAGTGCAACATTGTGCTAGGAGTGAGGCCATAAATACAGTCACCTTAGAGAATGAGAACCTGTATTGAAAATGATCTAAGACATTAATCTTACTCATTTAAAAATACCTTTTAAGATCATATTTAGTTTCAGGTGTTTTTTTATACATTTAAATAACACCAGAAACTTTAATAATTGATTTATGAAATTCCACATTGTCTTAGATCTTGTTTTTGTATTTTTTTGTGGCATTATTCTCCAAAGTGACTGTATGTTAGTCATTTTGAAGCAAGCTTTGCATTCTACTTGCAAATGTTGCTTCACACAAATACAATTCTTTCATTGTAACTCATTGTAAGCAAGTATATATATTTCATAAAAAAAATCAATTAAATTTCATTTATTTGCAATAACAGAAACTAATTAGAAGTTAATTATAATCTGCATATTATTAACTTCTTTAAAACTCCATACAAGCTTACAACTAGTCGTCAAATGATTGCCTCACTCCCAACTTGTACAAGAATACTCTCGCCATTGATTTTTCAAAACTCATGAACAATCAGTGGCTTATATCACTATTAATATATAAAATCTAGAAATGTAATAATGCTATAAATTAAACAAATGAGCAAATGGAAGAATAATTTTTTTTTATAAAATAGTTCAGATATTATAACTTTGGTGAAGAACTACTTTCTTTTACTAAATCCTCTAAGGAAAATAAGATAATTAATGTAAAGGAAGCAATATATAATAAAAAGTGAAATAGGATTTTTACATGAACAAAAGCACAGCATTTATAAAGCAATAAAATTAAGGACCACTAACTATATCTATGTTAAAATGACACAAGAATGCTTAATTTTCTAAAATTTTTAGATAGAAGCCAAGGAAAACAAGAAAAATGTGCCAGTATTCTAAATCTAGCTCTTATGGCATGAAAAATAAGATAATAATGAACAGAAAAAAATAAACAACAGATAGCACTCACCTGGTATGATCAGGTCCTACAGCTTTGTATACATAGTCAGCATTGATTTTGTTAATTTGCATGAATTGATGTAATTTGGACTTAGCATTTTCCATAGTCCAATTTCCATGAAGGCTGGCATTTACATCCAAATCTTCAGCATCTTCAACATTTTTTTGTTGTTGGAGACGGTCCATATATGTAAAGTTTTCTCTCTCCCCACCATAAGCTTGGTAAGCGGGTCCCATACTTTCTGGTCCCATACCATCCTTTAAAAATATATTAAAAGATAATCAAACAACAATAAAGTAGTGTAATCTTACTACTCAAATAAAAGTATTAATTAAATTAATTAACATTCTATATCACATTCATGTTATAAATGTATGTATATCATAATATATTTGAATGTTAAATTCTTGATATTATGTTTTCTTTTTAAATTATATTTCTTTTGGCACATTTGGAAAAAAATATGAGAGTAACATTTTTATGATGCACATGCACACAGCCAAAAAGCAACATGATGAAGTTAGCTGAAAGTGACATAATGATGTTAACTAATTCCTTTTACAGAGAGTTGTGACATAAGGGATTAAATCTTTAGCTATTTTTGTTTTGTTACTAAGCAAAGAAGTATAACTCTTACATGCGTATATATGTATGTATACACACGTTAGCTGGCTAGTTACTGAATTAGTACAAATATAATGTTTCTTACTTGGAAAACGGGTTTGTTTTGTTGTGGTACTTCAACATTCCCTTCGTTTTGTTGTTCATTTTCAGTTTTAATAACAACATCTTCAGGTACATCACTAGCTGAGAGCTCACCAGATCTCACGAGAAAATTAAGGAAATCTCTCGAGGCATTTTTCTGTGCTTCCTTTTTAGTCACAGAATTACCGGCTGCGACGTAAGAGTAGCCTTCCAAACGCACTTCACAGAGAAATCTTTGGCGATGTTTTGGGCCTAGTATGGAAATAATACAAAGTTTCACATCATAATACAAATTAAAATTTCTGTAAACAATTTTAAATGTTTTAAAGCATTCTTACCAGTAGCCCGTATATCAAAGAGTGGTGTAATCCCTTTTTTCGCTGCCCACGAATACAGATACGATTTTACATCCATGGTGAAACCAGGACGATAGATGAACTGAAGGAATAACCTAATTTGTTTTGTTCCCAGTATATAACTATACTCTTTGGTTTTGTTATTCCTAAAAATTTTCACAAATTACAGTAGGTTTATTCCGAATAACACACCGGCGGAAACAGATTAAAAATCCCTATCTTATCTCGAATTTGTCAAATAAATCAATTTTCAGTTTCAACCGTGGATGTTAAAGGTTTCAACTTGTTGACTGTTGTTCTTGGTCTATGCTCTATGGTTTCAACCATGGATGACAGTTTCAACTTTCTAGATTCAGAAATCAAAAATGGTGTTAAAAAAAATAACCCAACAAAAGTCGTGTTCAGCGCGTCATCAGCAAGGAACATAATATTTACTCTAGGGAGATCACTTTTCACTTGTAAGTTATAGCAAAATTATAATAATTATATTCAAAGATGTTCAAATGGCAAATACCTACGTTGTCAAACCGAGATTGCCAATATTATGCATAATGAAGTCAGTCAATTTTTGACCTAATTTAGACGGTTTTTTTTTCTTGATAAAATATTAAAATGTAAATAAAAATGAAAAATAAATTTGTTTTCTTTTAGTTTAACTTCAGAATCCGTCTTTATTACATTGCGAAGATTCTCTTTTAATGTCTTCTAGACAAAAACTTAATAATTTAATTATATTTTGCGGCACATAGAGTTCATTGAATTGTAAAAAGTAACCCAAAATATGGAATAAAAAAACATTGTAGAATAATATTGTTTTTTAAAACATTGTATGAGGCAGTGGTAGCCCAGTGGTAACGCGCTCGCTTGGGAAACCGAGTGAAGCGGGTTCAAAGGTCTCGCACCTCTGATATTTTCATGTGCGAATCATTTCCAACATGATTACCACCCGTCTTAACGGTGAAGGAAAACATCGTGAGGAAACCTGCATTTCTGGGAGAACCTACTAAGTTTTCAAAAGACATGTGAAGTCCGCCAACCCGCACTCGGCCAGCGTGGTGGACTATGGCCTGATCCCCCTCGTATTGAAGGGAGGCCCGTGCCCAGCAGTGGGACGTTAAAAAGGGCTGAATACATAAAGAATACAAATATTTTATTAAAATAATACATTGTAATACATAAACCATTGTTTTATTATTCACTTGGTCCGATTCCCTTATTGTATAACATTCTCGACGCCGCTGACTTAGCTGTCATAGCAGACATTGCAGTACACGTGCAAAAAAAAACCTGCTTTTGTTTTGAATTTAAACCAATCACCAAATATGTCTGTTCGTAAACCTCAGAAGTGATTTGCAGTTTGAATCATACGTCGTTTTGGTTTGAAGTAGGACCATTTTTTGTGCGAAATTGGTTCCGAATTAGACTTACAGACTTATTATTTATTCGTAGAATAGGTATATAATATACAAGATTATTGGTAATTCAACGTATTCCCGTTAGGAGGTGATAGGGCTATCATTTTAACCCCCATATGCATTATGCAAAAGTGAACCATTTTTGAGTTATGGTTTTTAGCTTTTTTCAAAATAAGTCAAAAATGCAATAACAAAATTTTTTTATGAAAAAGTACCAATTTTAATCTATTTTTTTCTTCTGATAGGTATATAAAAATGATTAAACACTTGTTATTTATTAATATTAAAACAACACTTATTGGTCCAAATTTAAAAATGTGACACGAAAAACGGAATTATTTCAATATCTTTTTGAATTTTTTTTCCACTAAAACGCCTTAAAAACAAAAAAATGTTATGGAACGGATATTTGAAAAATATAACCGTTTTTTGAGCTCTCCAACAATGCATAACACTTCTTTTAAAGAAACTGAAAAATAAATTGATCACAAGGGAAGCGAGCGGAAATTCGTATTCGAACTAAACTTAAAATCGCTGTTTGAATATCTTGTAAATAGGTTTAATGCATACTTACTACATAAGATAATGCAGGAAGCAAACTGGCACTGCCAGTCTGACAGGTTACGAAAAAAAAAGTTTTCAAAGAGTTCTTTTTTCAAAAACTATAACTATACGAGTGATTCTCGCTCGCTCCACTCGGCAAGTTTATAACTATATAGCAATATACTCTATGAACTATACTCTTTGCCACTCGGGTTCATAGTTCGGACACCCTGACACCGCGACACCGTGGCTCGCCGACCCGAACGGCGGTCCTCCGAGAGGCTGCCAAACGACCCGCCGCCGCACAGTGTGCACAATAGTGTTAACGTAGGTCATTCGGACTGCACACCATCGTAAGGCAAGTGGTAATCATGTTAGAAATGATTCGCACATGAAAATATAAGAGGTGCGAGACACGGCATTTCAACCCGCTTCACTCGATTTCCCAAGCGAGCGCGTTACCACTGGGTTACCACTGTCTTATTATTATATTATCATATTGTATCACTTATCACTTGAACTTTTAATGTAAAAAATTTAATTGAAATGACAAAAGGGTTAATAATTAATTTTTAATTAAAAAAATATTGCCTGGTCACAATATTCGTAACTTTTCATTAATTTTAATTTTTAACCGACCGAAAATAGGTATACTAAAAGGGTTTTTTTTAATTACATTTTTATTTTGTAATTTTTAGTTTTAAGTAAAAACAAATATTTTATTGTAATAGATTTACTACTTGTAAATACAAACTATTTCAGTTTTACAGACGTTTTAGTTCATATCATAAAAACTACTGCACCGATTTTCAGGAAATCTTTACTATTCCCCTTTGTTGAAATAAATGTAAACAAATAAAAAATCTAAATGTAAAAAATCTAAAAATCCGATAACTAGTTTCGAAGAAATGCGTGGTCAAACATACATACATACTTACATACAAACATACATTCATATATACATGTAAGTATTTGTATTTTGTATTCAGCCCTTCTTAAAGTCCCACAGCTGAGCAAGCAGGCCTCCTTTAATACGAGGGGGATCAGGCCTAAACTTGTAAAATTTTGTATAGGTATTTGCTTGGAAGCCCGAATAGATTATCATATTATGTATGTAAATATTTTGCAGTTCCAATAATATTACATACGAGTACATAGGTGTCGAATTGATAATCTCCTTATTTTTAAGCCGGTTGATAATTATAAAATATCCTTTCTTAAATTATAAATGCGAAAATGGGTCTTTTAGACTGTTTTTGTTATGTGAAACTATACTCGTACACAGATAAGAAGTTTTTATGTACAGATATCATAAACAAAGAGGCTACATTCTATTTTCTCATAAGATACTAATATGTAACAAAAAGTTACTTGATTTATTATATAGTCAGGGCATAAACATAGCGAGAACAAGTTCGTTAGTAAATACGAACACACATTTATAAGACATGAAAAATATTAATTCATATTCTGAAGAATAATACGAATGGATTAAAGCTTTAAGCTAATTATGTAAAACTTGTGTGCCTGTATGTTAGTTTTAGAGCCAATATTAAAGTAATATGGAGAAGTATTTATAGTGTTTCTAATGTTTAGTGGTTACTAATCTTGTGGGCGTTATCAGGGCTCAAATAATGAAGAATTCAATACTAAATACACAATTTCATCACAGAAATCACAATGTTATAAACTTGAAACGATAATTCTAATGATTTAGAGCAAGCGGGTTCTCGATACCGATCAATGACTTTCAAATATAATATAAAAGGCCAAAGCATATTTCTCTATAATCCACCATGATCAAACAACTTTTTTTTCATAATGGCTTATAGTTGCGTTAACATATCAACCAACGTTACTAAGCCACGTAACTCCAATGAAGGACATGATGGCGTCTCAACTGCTCATGACGTAGTCTCTGCCCTAAATTTAAAATCTTCAAAAGCAATAAAAACTAAACTAAATAATATAGTGACTTTAAACAAAAAGGTTTTACATTCTTGCAGAAAAAGTAACTAAAACCTCCACCGTTATATTTACTATTTTATTAAATTTATCGAAGTCGGTAAACAGTTGCTATTTAGGATATGATGGATGATAAGTTACGAAAGTAGCCTTTTAACCCGATGAGTAAAGCTGGGAGTAAAAGCAAAGCAAAGGAAATTAATGGTTGTGCTTCCTGTGCTATTTTTAGGGCTTAGGTATGTATTGTTAATATCATCATAATTCATAACTAATTTGTAGATTGTCATGATCTTGTCTGATGGGAATTCTAAAAAATGTCTTGAATTAAATGTTAAGATTTTAGGATGAAATCTATACATATACCTAGGTAACTAATAAAATTGTAACTGAGCCGAATCTGTACATTAAATATTTTTTGGAAAATCTTATATAAATAGTTAGTTATACCTATGTACCTAGTAAGACCTGTGTAGATAAACAAGAATATAATATTTAAAATAGGTAAATCTTATAAATTGTGTAATTCAATAAATTGTTGAGTTTGATTAGATTTAAAGTTCACTTTCTTCTTTTTAGAGCATTTAAATAGGTATATGTTTTTATAAAAACAAGCATTTTTCGTATATTTTTAATTAGTATATTTCCTGGTCGATTCATTTGAAACTTGCTCTATGTAACTTGTAAGTGTTTAATCTTCAAGGTTAGGTTCTTTTAGGTTCTTTTAGGTATGTTTTAACGCAAAAAAAAGCCATAGCGGCGTGGAAATGAAACAAAAGTACCCACTCACAATTTAATTTTCGAATCTATAGTACCAAATCTTAATGTTTAAAACATAAAAAAATATTTTTTTTTATTAAAAATATAGCATCAAAGACCACATCTCGGCCATTCTACTGAAACCGAGATGTGAAATTGATCTTGAAACTGTTGAGAATTAGCACCTGATATAATAAATCTTTACCAAAAACAAAAGCAATTGAGTGTGAAGCCGCTGACAACTTTTTTATCACACAATTTATTTTAAAGGTAATGACTAATGAATATTTATATTTTAATTGATATTATTACTGTAGGTAGTACGTATAGTATTTTATGATCTGTGGTATATAGGTCACTTGTATAAATATTATTAGGCATTTTATTTTTGTCTTTTAAATGTACACTACAAGTTACATTACAGAAAGTTTATAAATTTTGGTTTAAGTCAACAAAACATGTTTCTGTTAGTAACTTTCTTTATATTTATTATTTTTCTGTGGAAATGGTATACTAGAAAAGATCCGGATGAGCCTCCAATATTCCCGGGTGGTTGGCCTGTGCTTGGACATGCCCATTTCTTCTTTGGTAATACATTAAGTAAGTAATAATTGAAACAATTACATATTATATACTAGCTACTCACCCTCGTTTTGTCGGGTTCGTCTATAGGTAATCCAGCCAGATGTGAAGCCATGAGACATTGGTAGGTGGCCCACCTTGGTGGGCGGTGTACCATGTGGGTTACTCCTGGTAATTCTTTGATAGCGCAGTGGACTATGGGAGTAACTCCTTGGTTGTTGTGGTGTGCTTTGACAGGCTCGCCGTCGGGGCGTCATAGTTGAGACCATAAGCGATCCTGCGGCATCCCATTTAGACTCGTTAGGTTCCATTGGGTTTTAGTGGGTAATAGGTACTGTCTTTTCTAGCCGATGGGTCGCACTGCGCACATAACAATAAACCACCTGTTTGTATTAATGCCTATGCAACTAGTATGCGTAAAGGCATCCCCAACGTCAAAAAAAGTTGCCTGCCTACCAGAGATGTACCTACCTGTTTTTATATATACACAGGTATAAGCGCTTTCTGACAAATTTATTACTAAAAGTAAACTCTAGTGTTAGTTGTTACTCCTAGTAACACGTAATCTATCCATACCTACAAAATTTTATCCAAACACGTCCAGCGGTCTTGGTGTAAAGGAGTAACAAACATACATACACACATCAACTTTCGCATTTATAATAGTAGTGAGATGATTTTTTTGTAATTTTATAGATTTTTGGAAAGTAATTAAAACTTTATCCGAGAAATCCATGGAAATGGGTCACGCAACTCACTTTTTCATGGGACCTGTCAAATTCTACGGTAAGTCGCTTAAGTATTATATATATTTATTTGATGAACGTAATTTTATATGTATTATTTAAAATGAAAATATGACATTCCCAAGATGGACATTTGCGATTTATGATGATGATATTTGAATATTTTAGTATGTAATTGACGCTCAGTGATGCCAATATTGTTTCTTATGCCATTAATTAGTGTAAACATCTCCAATAGCATATCGCTGATCGTCTTGGAGACTTTTAAGGATTTAAGTGCGTGTAATAAATAAGTAAAACGCTTATGTCTCTGTCCGCATTTATAATGATTAGGTATATGTTCCGGGATTAAAGTTCAATGACAGAATTACGTTCAATAACAAAATATTAGGTGTATCCTAATTATAATCTTCATTAACTTAAAAAAATACATATATTCAACCTGAGCACCATCTATCGTACGTTGTCGCAATTATGTCAGGAGCCTTCACGAGCATAAAACACTTTAACAAAATTCAATGCCATCTTATGGACGTTTTTGGCAAGCAAGCAAAAAAACACACACACATGATTTATTGGGTTTAATTTTAGTTAATATATAAACAAATCTAGGAGGACGAATTAAAATGTTAATTTAGATGACGATACTATAATTTGGCACTATGAAGATGAAGAATCTCTTTCTCTGAAGGGAAGTAGACGAAAACTCATCCTAGTGATCCAGTTGAGTTTCTATATTTTATATTATTTTTTAGTTTTAACGGATCCCGATGACATAAACAAGGTATCAAATGTTTGTTTTCAAAAGGATAATTTCAGTTATAAATTCACCAAGGATTTACTTGGCGACGGATTACTTTTCTCACATGGTAACTTATTTGGCCTTTTTTTATTTTATTTAAAATTTAAATTAATAAAACTTAATTTTGATCACTACCAAGAGTTTGATCATCTTTTAGGAAAATGGATATTTCAAAAAGAGATTTCATATTTTAGTTAATTTATAAATTTTCGATTTTAGTCATCCTTTTCTATTTCAATTACTCATTCCATATGACAGTAAAAACTTGAAAGATTTTTTTTAATTTAATCATTTTAATTAAAAAAAATATTTTTAATTTAGAAATGATCCAATTATTTATTTTTTAGTACCAACATGGAAAAAACATCGAAAATTAATAAATCCGGCCTTTAACCAACAAATTCTTGACAATTTTATGGGTATATTCAACAGTCAATCCAAACTTTTGGTAACGAGATTGAAGGTGGAAGTAGATAAAGGCCCTTTCGATCACTCAACTTATGTACGACAGAACTTCATGGAGACAATATGCTGTAAGTTTGTGACCACCTGCTATCCAAGAGTCTAGACTTTTTAAATAAAGGGAAGTATTGTCTAGACTTTTTTTCATGTTCGGAAATGCATTCACCCACACCACCTGTATACATACATGTAGGATGTGGTGGTGTATACATACAGGTTGTTATGTGGGATTCACTGGCTAGAAAAGCCAGTACTACCTACTAAAACCCAATAGAAACTCCCCCGTCTTAATGGGGCGTCGTAGGATCGCTTAAGCTGTCAACCACGACGCCCCGAGTCCCCGACGGCAGGCCTGCCGAAGCAGACCACACTAACAGAGGGTTGTAAAAGTTCTACTGTACCTACTGGGAAGTACCAGGAGCAACCTCGGGTTGGTTGTAACACTGCCCACCGGAACTTCTTGGTAGCAACCTCTAGTTGAAAAGTTGGTAGACTTATATAGGTAAGTAATAGGACAAACAAAAATAATAGGATTCGTCAGGATTCGATGTATTTCTTCATCCATCCATATCAACATTTATTATATCATTTTGCTAGTTTTTTCAGCAAAGTCTAGTGCTAGTTTAGATAATTTAAGAACTTTATACACATAGCTTTATAGTTTATTTATATAAGAGAAAATCTGTTGAAATTTTTACAATTATTCATACTTTCGAAAGATGTGCCTGAAATAATGATTTGATAATAAAGCCATGAAAAGTAGTTCACCTGTCTGTTTGTAACTGAGAATTACACATTCAGCAGGTAAATAACATAAAAAGATAGAAAAATGATAGTTATGAGGATAACGACGATTTTGAACGAGTAAAATTATTTATGTTAAGATATTTTTTTACTTGAAACAATGATTATTATATTATATCGTATATGAATTTCGTAAATCAAATGTGTGGAGGTACCTATTATATTTATTGTTTATAAAAATTATGCAAAATTTATTCGCTATTCTTTATACAAAAATTCATAACGCTCGCATGATAAGCGGGGTGGGGATCAAGGGTAAGCTTCTGTCCTATCCCTGTAAACAATGATGGCCTTTCCAAATTTCATCAAAATCTGTTCAGCGCTTTAAGCGTAAAAATGTAACAGACAGAGAGACAATATGGATTTTAGTTTAGAATAGAATCATTTGTTACTATTCCATCATGTCGTTTACAGATTTTTTATAGGTTTATTTTCAGGTTTTTAATTTTTTCTTTCCTTTTAGTAACAGCAATAGATAATGCTGTCTCTGAAGAAGACGCTATAAAATATGTCCAATCGTTTGAAGCCTATCTTAATTTAAATATATCTAGATTTATAAAGTTCTGGTTACATTCAGATTTCATATTCAAGTTTAGTAATATAAAAAAGCAACTGGACGAAAACAGTAAATTTTTAACAGAAATGTCAGATTCGGTAAGATTTTTCTTTAAATAAATGATTTAATTAGTTATATTCATTTTAATAAATTATTTTAGGACTTTTATCAGCTTCTTTGTCTCTAATAATTTTACAATACTTAACAGGTGCTCAAGAAAAAGAGGGCTTTAAGGAACAACGGTATTCAAAAAATTAATAATGAAACAGGTATGTGGTTTCAGTATATTTAAAATGTTATCATTTGTAGAATTCAAATATTGTTTTTTTTCTAAAACTTAAATATAACTTTTAAAAATATTCCCAATTATTCTCAAAAAAAGTGATTAGCCCATCCTTTTTTGTAAATTTATGTCATATAATACATATATTCTATTCTGGGCTAACAACCCGGAATTGAGGAGTTGGCGGTCTTTCACCCCTGTGCCTCAGAGAGCACGTAATGCCGTTGCCGACCGACGCGTCGGCCCTGCGCCTCTCTCACCGGTCGTATCTCATCGACCTGTTAGAGTATGAGAGTGACAGGAATAGAGAGTGCACTTGTGTCTGCGCGTACACTTGTACACTATAATATCTCCTGTGCAGTTGGCTAGTCTCAATGAGATTTGCCGCCATGGCAGAAATCGGTCGGGAGGACATTATTATTATTATACTAGGTTTTTGTATGAACCATAGAGTAAATATAATATTTTTCCAACAGTTCCTAAAATAAAAGTCTTTATGGATTTGATGATGGATCTCGATGGAGAAGTTTTAACTGACCAGGAGATAAAAGATGAGATAAATACTATAATAATGGCAGGGCACGATACTTCAGCGAATGTTACTATTTTCGCATTACTATTAATTGGATCATATCCTGAAGTTCAAGAACGTATCTACAAAGAGTTAGTATGAAATAATTTTTTTTCTTTTTTTATATATATTAAGTATTTGTATATGATTCGTATATTGTGAGCCGCTCGCTTGAAAACCAAGGGAAGAAAAAGAAAAATATCAGAGGTGCGAGACCTGGGATTTGACGAGTTTAAAAATTATCATGAGTGAATTATTTTCAATATAATTCCCTTACGAAGGTAACACATCGTAAGAAAAGTTACATATCTGATAAAACCTAAGCAGTTTTCGACAGACATTTGAAGTCCGCCAATCCGCTTGGCCAATGTGGTAGTATGGTTTGATTCCCGTGATGAGCGTTAAAAAAGGGCTAAATACAGTTAATATTAAGTATATGCTTTCTTATATTTACGTAAATTAATTCGTATTTATTTTGGCATTATTAGTGATGAGGACCTAATAATTAAAATCGTTATTTTTAGATTACAAGAAGTATTAGGAGATAAAGATGATGTAGAGAAACAAGATCTATCAAGATTAGTATACTTGGAGGCTGTACTTAAAGAGACTATGCGATATTACGTTATGGCACCTTTTGTTGGCAGATTTATAGATCGCGAAGTTAAATTAAGTAAGTACCTAAATCTCATTATAATTACCTAAGATATATGCACTTTTTAAACGTTTACATTACTGGCGACTCACCCTCGCTTCATTCGGGTTCGACCCTAGGTCGATTCCCCATACAAACTGTCATCCCCATTTTCACCCCCTTAAGAGATGATTTCCGGGATAAAAGCTATCCTATATCCTTCCTAAGGTCTTAAACTAGCTTCTTACCAAATTACATCTAAATCAGTGCAGTAGTTTCGGAGCTTATTCGGTACAAACAAACAAACTAACAAAAAATAATAAAATTAATAATATTAGTATAGATAACAAATAATACTTTAATCATATAAATCTTTGAAGTAATGAAGTTTCTATCTATCAGGGAACTGCACATTGAAACCTGGTTATAACTGCCTCTTTATGATGTATGGAATCCATCGCAATCCACTTTGGGGGCCAGATGTAAACGAATTTAAGCCCGAGAGATGGCTAGATCCCGCTACGATGCCCAAAAACCCCAACATGTTTGTCGGCTTTAGTACGGGAAAAAGGAATTGTATAGGTATTTAAGTCCTTAAAAAATATACCAGTAGGTAGTAGTTGCCCTGATATTATATTTAGTGGTGCCATCTTTCAGCAAATTTTATCACTATAAGTAACTAATGTGCTACCCTTTTTTTTTTTAACGTTGGGAAATGCATTTACGCACGAGGTGTGGGACTCACCGGCAAAGCCAGTACTACCCACTAAAACCCAACAAAGCCTTCCCCCGTCTTAATGGGGCGTCGCAGGATCGCTTACGCATTCAACTACGACGCCCCGACGGCAGGTCTGCCAAAGCAGACCACAACAACCACGGGGTTGCTCCAAGGTCCACTCTGCTATCAGAGAAGTACCAGGAGCAACCCGCATGGTACACCGCCCTCCGAAGAGGGCCACCTCCCACCGCCCACCGAAGTGGGCCACCTCCCTGTGCGTTTCTTGGCTTCGCGCCCGGTTGGGTTGCCGGGCACTACTGAGCCCCCCCACCACGACAAGGTGAACGCACGTTGGGGGGGAACTAATGTGCTACCCTAGGTCATTGTCTATCTGTGTACTAAATTTTATCCAAATTCGTCCAGCTGCCCAGCAGTTTCAGTGTGAAGCAGTAACAATTAACACACGCTCATATAAACTTTCGCTTTTATAAAACTATAAAAGTATTGTATTATTCTACTATGTTTTTTGTATATGTTATGCGATATCATCGATAATTGTAAGTATACTTTAAAAATCATGAAGGGTTTATAATTATAGTTATTATATGAGAACGAATGAATTAAACGTGAATTCGACATTTTTATAAGGGTTGGAAAAATTTGAAAGATACACCATTTGTACAACCTGGTCTTTAGGGACTTTGGGATCGACAACTTAAAAATATCGATATATTATTAGCACAGCTTCCCGAATATTGCCTTATGGAAGGTACTTGGACAATCAAGATTGCGGCTTAGTATAAAAAAACTATCTGGACAAACCGACACTCAATAATCCATTTTGACTCTCATTAAGGTTGTTATAAATTTATTATTTAAGATTTAAGAACTTATATAATAAGTAAAATTTAGGTAAGTATATAACTTATACAATTTTCTAAAATATGATTATATCTATCGATAAAATCATATTTTAGAAAAAAACCTTTTTTTACATAGGTATGTGTAATAAATGATATAATAAAAGAAATGGAAAATTAAACTTAATCAGCAAACTACAAAGACAATAACAGCCGCCCAAAGTTCAGATATTTTAATTATTTATGCATTGACCTTGGCATAATTTCATTCACTATATGGATTAATTACGCTAATTAATTTACAAAAATAATAATTATACAGTTTTATGAATGTATTCATATTAAAATTATTATAATTATTAAATTAAAATTACTAGCTATATTATAATTTTTTTCATGCCTTTCAGGTAAAACTTATGCCATGATGTCAATAAAAGTGCTACTCAGTCATCTTCTGCGACGCTACAAGTTACATGGAGATCACACAAAAATGGTGTTAAAACTTGACGTGCTACTAAAACCTGTTACTGGTCACTTAATTACTTTAGAAGATAGATTAAGAAAGAAATAATGTAAAATTTTAAATAAAATTGTTACGGATTTGAAAAAATTATATGTTATATATGTACCTATAATATATTAATATTGTGTAAATTTGGAGTGTTATTTAACCAAAAATCTTAATAATCCTTTCAGCAGTACAGATTACAGAAGATGTACTGCGCCGACCCCAAGTGATTGGGAAATGGGCAGGGAGAGGAAGAAGATTTAACCAAACATCTCAGGGTAAAATCTTATTTAAAAAAAAATACTCTGGCGAAACTCTCAATGTCATATGCAAATGTCTAAATTGAAAGTGTGTTTACAGTACCTACCTATATTTTACCTAATTATTATTTGTCTTTTACATTATATTATTAATTAGTATTCTATATTATATTATTAATTGAAACTTAACTGTTTAGGGACCGCAACAGAATATGAGTTGTTTGTCTCAAACTTTTAATAGGTATAAATTTCATGAACTTGATTTGGATTTTTTATATTCGTTTTATACTTATTGCAGGACTCGGAACCACCCTTGTCGTAGTTGAATGCGTAAGCAATCCTGCAACGCCCCATTAAGACGGGGGAAGGTTTTGTTGGGTTTTAGTGGGTTGTATTGGCTTTGCCGGTGAGTCGCACACCTCGTGCGTAAATGCATTTTCCAACGTTAGAAAAAAGGGCTGGGAAATCCGTTCAATTTTTAAACCGGTTTGGGTCATTTGCCCCAAACGAAAGGCTTTTCGGTTACGTTATTTAACCGGTTAAATCCGGGAGAACGGTTTTTGACGCATTAGGTTCCATGAACAAAATTAACCGGTTAAAATGAGTTTTTGTGTTTACATTTGGCGCGTCTTTGCTAATTGTAAATGTCTTAGTAGAAGAATGCATGGACGTTTCTTACTTATAAATGAATTAACCGGTTTATTTCGAAATCCTGAATTCCCAAAACCAAAATCCAATCTTTCTCGAAGAATAACCATTAACCGTTATTATTTGGGTTTAAGTTTTAAGCTATATGTATACTCTAAGGAGGAAACAGTCTCCTTCCTGTAAAGCGTTAAGCGGGTTCTAAACTTTACTTTTGTGGAATAAGGAAAATATTATACTAAATTAATTAATGCTATGTTAAATATATCAAAAATATATACACCATACTGATATTTAGTTATAAGTTGCATCTTGTTTTCTCAATTTTTAAAGTTGGCTTTAAATTATTTTATGATATAAATTTTTAAGTCGTAGACCGTAAAATACTGAACGATAGGTCGTCTGAGGTCATCTGGGAATTTTGACGTACCTACACGGTACAGACTACAGATTTGACATTACATAAACGAGTTGGAGCCGTTGGATTTCTGGACCAACTATTGTAATTATAATAGTATAGCAAAAAAGATTTTAACAGCTACAAAATAGAGTGCTTTATTGTTTAATGTTTCATAACTTTGATTGTCAAACAATTATTTGATAGCCAACGTAAAAATTTGTTTACCTACTTTAATTTTTAATATTTCCCAACATTATTTTGAAGTTTGAACATTTTATTACTTTAGTGAAGATTGTGCTTTATTATTTTAAGATTTTAATCATAAAGACTGCAAAGACGATATCTTTGCATTTTTAAAATGTGTAGTTTTAAATATAAATGATATAAATAATTGAGAATTATTGTGCTTATTACGTAATTTTTCTGTATTTGAATTCGTTTAGGTGTGACGTGAACCACTTCAGCTATGAATACCACAATGTTGATTGCTCGACGCGCGATAACGTCTATAAAAACTCACGTTTCTGCTAAAAAAGTTTATAATAATTTTAGTGACTCTACTAGAAAGTTATCCGTCACTTCTTGTAAAAACATGAAACTTGTACAGTTTGTTTATAATGAAAAACCTAATGAAATTCGAGTTGGATACCTCGAAGGAGATAAAGTTGTCGATATTAATAAAGCCGACTCCAGTTTAGCAAGTACTTTGATAGATATTTTGAAAAATGGTGGCATTGAAAAAGTTAAAAAGTAAGTCATTATAAAAAATTGTTTATTCACTAAGAATGATCAGAACCTATATAATTAATTGCAGATTTAAAATGTAAATTGAATTCATTTAATCCAATAATATATTGTCAATGTTGGAATTGTATCTAGACAAATTAATTTTAAAAAATAAATTAATATCTGGCTGATATTCAATGTTTTGTTATTTATTTTTAAAATAAATGAAACTATAGCATATACAAAATAATAATGTATCATGTAATTTAAAATAATATAGGAAGTAGAAATCCAAAACTTAATTTGCAACTTAATGTAAACAACAAATATTTTGAAGATGTTTTTCAAAATATACCTTAAAAATATACCTTCTATACTAACAAACAACTATTAAAATATGTGACAAAAAATTGTATGTATATAATAAATATTATTTGGGATATGTTTTACAAATTTAAGTATGGTACATAATTGGTATTCATATTTTTTTAAATATTGTTTCTTTTTAGACTAAAGTCATCAAAGCCAGCATCCATTCCTTTATCATCTGTAAAACTTGCCGCCCCAATTACTGGGAATGATAAAGTTCTTTGTATAGGTCTTAACTATAAAGACCATTGTGAGGAACAAAACTTGACTCCACCGGAAGTGCCAATAATATTTAGCAAGTTTTCAAGCTCTATAGTTGGTCAAAAAGATGCAGTAAAACTAAGGACTGATGTGACAAATGTAAGTTATTATTTATTATTAAAAAACTATGTATAGTTCCCACCACACAATGCCATAATCCTCCAGGCTGGCAAACTGCTGCAGTGGGCAGATCTTACAAGTCTTATATGTATTTCCACTGAGCCTACCACTGTCACAGAAACATTTAAATTTAATAAAATAAATTTATATTTATTTTATACTAAGTAGTGACTTTATTAAAATTATAACTTAAATTATACAAATTGTTTTTTTCTTATATGTACTGTGTATTCTTTCATATGCATTTAGTAAAAAGCTGTTATTTTGACATTACAAAAAGACACTTCAATTTTATTTATTTGTGTAGGTTACTAGCGACTCACCCTTGCTTCGCTCGGGATTGTCCCTCACTTGATTCCCCATACAGACTTTCATCCCCATTTTCACCCCCTTAAAGGATGATTTCCGGGATAAAAAGTATCCTATGTCCTTCCCAGGGTCTCAAACTATTTTCTTACCAAGTTTCATCTAAATTGGTTCAATAGATCCAGAGATTACCCCCTACAATGTCACACATTTATTTAGATAATAAATATTTGTATAGAAGTATAGATTATACTAAATATCAGAGATTCTTTATCTATTCCAAATATCAGAGATATACATGTTTCAAAATATGTATGCTACTCTAGCTCTCACTAGCGGCTCACCCTCGCTTCGCTTGGGTTTGTCCCCAGGTATGTTTTAACGATTAGTATGGAATAGATAAACTATTTATTATATAACATGTTTTCCCGTGGGAATCTCCCGCGGTAAAAAGTACCCTATGTCACTCTCCAGCCCTCCCAACTATCTCTACACAAAAAATTACGCTAATCCCTCTCTTCGTTTCGACATGAAAGAAGGACAAGCAAACACACTTTCACATTTATAATATTAGTATGGATGTTTTCGTCTCTATATTTCAATAATACTCGCAACTTGAATTGAGACATAGCACCAAACACTATTTATTATCAGGTCATACCACACTGAGTTATCTTGTCGTCATATTATCTTAATGCTCAAGGACTCGTTGTTAAGTTGACAGTCTTTGAGAATACTGAATACTATGTTTCCCGCGGCTTTGCTTGAATGTAAGAATTTGTTTGAAACTAAATTCATACTGACCTAGTTCTATTATCCTTCCACATTATTTTATGTAATTTATAAAATTACTCATGCTGACTGAGCACCAACGTACAGACAAAATTGTTGGAAATAAACTGCGAAAATGTTGACTGCCTTTTACTATAATATGTCATTTTGATCACCAAGACGTAAAATGGGGTAGCAAAATTTGTATGAGAAAAAATATTTATTAGCAATAAAAACAAGTGGCGAGGTGAAGGATGCTTGTAGTTACATGCACGCACGTAACATGATAGAAACCGAACAAGTGGACATAACTTATTAAAAAATTGTTATCAAAATTTTATTTAGGGTAAGTATGAATGAACGAGATTCATACATATGTATGAATATTACTATAATTAATACAAAAGTTTGTATCTGTGTATGTTCGTTACTCTTCACACTGAAGCTACTGGACGGATTTGAATGAAATAAAGTACACAGATTGAATATAACCTAGAGTAATATTTATATGACTGACACATAGGATACTAATACTTTCTTAGTAATACACTCTTAGATATACGCTAATATCTTTTTTTTTTAAAAACCTTTGCTAAAACCATTAAGCAGTATGGACGTCCAACGCAAGTAATTTGAGGCATGGCAGGGAAATGATGATAATTTAACATTTTAAATAAAAATGTCTTCGGATTTTTTCGCGGATATATATTTTGATTTTTGGTGTCCGCCGTTTCGAATGTTTTACAGCAATCATGGTCACGGGAGGAAAATCCGAAAAGATAGGTAGATTATTTAAAACATAGAATACTGTTTGGCCATATGTGTACAAGAACGTACACGAGCGATTATAATAGCGAAAAGCGATAAGCGAAAGCGGTAAGTCGCTAGTAATAAAATAGATTTACGTTAATAAAATTTATTAGTTAAGTGCTTAATAGAAACACTTTCTTAACCGCCACTAGTAAAGGTGTGGTCGAAATTCAGTGATTCAGAGGTCTGCAATGACCTCAGTACACAATTGGGGTCAATTATTGAAACAAATTGTGCCCGTAATTCATAGTGCGTAGGTAGCGACAGATGAAATAATGCGTGCTACGTGATGATTACATATTCTATTTTTTAAAGGAAATTGTTACACTTAAAATGTATAACTATAGCGAAATTCGTTGTAATTTACAATGGAAATTAAAACATCATTAATTACAATAAGTAATACGTAGTCTTCGTATTTTCTGTATGAATGTAAATCGTTTACTTTACATACTCTAATAATAATTTATACTAAAATCAAAAGTTATAGTCTACAGTACACCACATACTTTTCCAAACTTCACGAGCTTCGTTTTGACGAGACGCCCAAGTTTTCTTTTTAGCAAAATTTAATAGTGCAATTGTGGCATGATACGGAACATGTCGAAACGGTGATTGTCTAAAAATTACTAACAGGATGTTTTACAATTTAATCTTGGGATAAACCAGCATAAAAGAAGAAAAAAATGTTGTCCTACAAAACAGATGATTTGGATCATATCGTCCCCCTCTCCGGACTTGTTAAAATAATAATAATGTCCTCTAATTGGAAATATTATAGTGCACAAACACAAGTGCACTCTCTATTTCTATCACTCCCATACTCCGATGGGACGACTACTCGATACGACCAGTGAGAGATATGGCGTAGTAACCGACGGCTTTAAGTGCTCTCCGAGACGAGGGATGAAACACTTCTGAACTTACTGAGACTTACTTCTTAACTTTTACTGAGAATTTCTTGACAGAAATACTCGATAACTAAACTTGGGCCGATCTGGGACTCGAACCCAGGAAAGGACTCCGGATATGGAGCCGTACTTGCGAGCCACTAGACCACCGAGCCAGTTAATTGTTAAAATAACAATGTCATAAAATTACTAATAACCGGCGATTTTCATAGTACTTATTATAAAAATATGTATGTATTTGTAGATAAAAAACTATTTTTGTTCACAGAAAGTAGACTGGGAAGTGGAACTAACAGTGGTAATAGGTAAAAAAGCAAGCAACGTGAAAGCTGCCAACGCATTTGACTATGTTCTTGGGTACACTGTAGCCCAAGACATAAGTGCTAGAGATTGGCAGAAGTCGAGAAACGGAGGACAGTTCTTACTTGGAAAGGTGAGCGTTTAAAAATTACCAAATCTTTTTATTGTCACTACCCCAAACAAATGTACAAAAACTAAAATTAAAAATTTTAAGTAGACCCCCGACACAAAAAAAACTCTAAAAAGTAAAAAAAAAATTCTCTCTTGGCCTTTTAACTTCATTAAAAGTACCTGTAAATAATTTGATGATGAGCGTCACCGCATCGGGGGACTTTAAAAAGTCAAATATTCAAATATAAGCATTTCCGAATACTTTTCAGAAACAGTTCAATATTTTTTATCATATTGCAATATTTTTTATTGGCTTTAAGTATCGTTTTACTTAGAAAACACAAAAGGTTACACACACACACACACACACAAAGGTTATACACACTATGTGTAATTCATTGTAGTAACGTTTTTGTACGGGAACAGTGATAATTTCTTAATATATTTCTTAATATATCTCTCTATTTCTTCTCCAGCAATTCATATAACAAGTTATATGAATTTCTGGAGCCTGCAACCGACTTTAAAAAATTAGTAGGCATTCCTATTTCTCGCACTATTTTTGTACACATTAGATATTTTTCTTAAACTTTATAAAATGTCTCATTTCATTACTTTTTCCAGTTTTACTTCAATGTCAATTATAATCTTTGTTCACAATAATTAACTTATTGTTAGTCTACAAAGTTAATTTTGTCCCAATTAAGGAATACAGTTCGTTGACACGATGACGTAAGGATTTGCTGTTGCAAATTATATTCGCCTTTTGACTTCTTAATAATTAATCATAATTTGGCCCTTTTTTAATGTTACATTGCTGTGCATGGGCCTCCCTTCAGTACGAGGGGATCAGTACATAGTCCACCACGCTGTCCAAGTGCGGGTTGGCGGGCTTTACATATCTTCCCAAAACCAGTTAGATTTTCAACTAGCAGGACTCGCGACTTCGCTCGCGCTAAAACTACAAAAAATAACTATAAATTGGTAGGTTTCATACAAACTTTCATCCCCTATTTTACCCCCTTATGGGATGAATTTCAAAAAATGCTAAAACACGTATTTATTTAATTCTATTGAAGAGTATTAATACCAAGTTTTAAGTAATTCTGATCATAAATATTTTTTTGGGTTGTATTATAACGTGTTTTTCCGTGGGAATGAGATGATATCCGCGGTACAAAGTACCCTATGTCACTCTCCAGCCTTTCAACTATCGCCACATAAAATATCACGCCAATCCGTTACTCTGTTTTGACGTGAAGGAAAGACAAACAAACGAACACACTTTTACATTTATAATATTAGTATGGATGTTATGTGATAATATCAAGGTTTGCATATAACAAGCTTTTGTTTGTTATGCATTGTTCGAACGTGTGTTAGTTAGTCTTTCCTTTTCAAAATGTTAAAACCATTTTCTAAGCATTTACCACAACATGTTAGACACCATGGAATTGGTTTATTTATGAAGCTTGAACGTGATCGTAGGACGTGAAACAAGTCTTATAAGAACGCCAGTTGATAACTTATTGATCGATATTAGTTAATACATATAATAAAATTGTTACTAAACCGAATCTGTATATTAAATATTTTTGGGAAAATTTCATTGAAATAAACATTATTATCGATACAGAGGCCGAATCTATAGTTTTTACAATTTTTTCTGTCTGTCGGTCTGTCTGTTACCACATCACAGAAAAACCACTGGAGTGATTTTGATGAAATTTGGTATGGTGATAGCTGGTTATCTGGGTCAACTAATAAGAGTATATAAGACTAATATGTAAACCCTAAGAATTTGGTTTTTGGTCATCTGAACGCGGGCGGATATGCATATGACTATTTATGTCTTGTTATTATCTAATCGAGACACTCTTATGTCGACCTTATCTAGGTTCAATGTCAATCAGATAAAAATCACATTCGATGCATTTGCTTTTCATATTTTTTTCATGTGATTATGTAACATTTCAATAATTCGTGTGTAAATCTATTAATGTTCATTCGCAAATCGTAATAGGATCCCATAGCATTCTGTATTCCTAAACTTACTCGGCCAAATTTATTAAAAGTCAAGATTTTAAATAAATCAAAAAATGCGGAGAAGAATAAAGTGGAGTGTAAGATATATATTTTATATATTTTTAACTAGTTGACCCGACAGACGTTATATAAACTTGATTGTTATCTTTCAGTTCATACAAAAATCCTATAGAAATGGCGCTTACAATGTTTCCTAGATTCATCAAATTTTCGGTGAACTTTTGTAGTTTTTTCCATCTAAAAACTTTATTAAAAATAACAAATTAGCTTAGTCGGACCAGCTGTTATCAAGTAGCTTATATATGTAGCTTATAAATAGGAGCTTAAATTTTTTTATTTGGAATATTATCAATTTTTTTGCTCGCGTTTTTAATTACTGATAGGCTCCTATCGATTTACTCGATCCGTCCATCACTGCGTACATTTAAGAGTTGAATTATGAATATTATATTAAATATTATCTGATCTAGTGGCTATCATAGCGTAGATATCTAAGCATACCCACAAACAGCAGTTCATTTTGATTTATATTTTATACATAGGTATACTAGCGACTCACAATCGCTTCGCTCGGGTTCTTCCCTAGGTACGTTTTGACGGTTAGTATGGAATAGATAGTCGATTCCTTGTTCTGTGAAAAACATAAACAAATCTATCCCACGGGAACCGTACATTTTTCTGGAATAAAAATTAACCTATGTGCTATTCCAGAATCGCCTTACATCATATCTGTTCAGCCGTTCTGGCGTGATTGAGTAACAAACATCTATCTATCCAAATTTCGCATTTATAATATTGATGGGATAAATCAAGGAATAAACTTAAAACATAATAATTTACCCCTAATGTTAGACGATCTAACTTAGTGGTCTAAGGTTCTAGTTTGTACCTGCGAAATGCTTAAATCCCGCGCAGTATGATTTTATTACCTATATAAATCTTATTTATAACTTATACCTACTTTTCGGCTTCCGGTCGCGTCTTTTCCTGCGACAAAAGTGTTTTCTGTCTTTTTCGACGTGTTGAAGCAGCGCCATCTCTTAATCTATACATATAATAAAATTCTAACTAAGCCGATTCTGTACATTAAATATTTTTTGGAAAATCTTACTTAAATAAACATTATTATCGATACAAAGGACGAATCTATAGTTTTTAGAATTTTTGTATGTCTGTCTGTTACCACATCACAGAAAAACCACTGGAGGGATTTTGATGAAATTTGGTATGGTGATAGCTGGTTATCCGGGTCAACATATAGGATACTTTTTACCGCGAAAAAATATCTCATTTCTGAGAAAATATACAAAAACTGCAATGTAAGAGTATACTAATATGTAAAATGCTACGCGAGCACTGCTAGTCTAAAATATAGTTATAACATATTAAAGTTGATCTTTTATCTCACGGAAACACCTTATGAAATTTAAAAAGCATTATTGTATATATTTTATTAGAAAACATGATATTATTCTTCGTTTACGCATAATTGAGTAATGAAATGAGTAACATAAATTATTAAAATTATATTTAGATATTTACATATATTTATAAATGTATGTATGTGCGTGTATTTATTATTAGTTATGTTGAAGCGAGTGCACTCCTACCTTTTTTCTCTCTTACATTTGTCTTCAACCCTAAGATGGTCTGGAAGAGACACCTCACTCAGCGATAAGGCCGCCTATAGTACCATATTTTAGCTTGATTTCCAGCGTTTTGTCTTTATGGAAATGGTGTATAATATAGAACATTTGACATTTTTAATTTACAAAATTAATAATAACAATATCCTCCTGAACGGTTTAGGCCACTGTGACAAATCTCACTGAGACTAGCCATGTGCATAGAATATAATATAATGCACAAGTATGCGCACAGACACAAGTGCACTCTTTATTTCTAATTCAAATATATTCACAAGTTTTGATCTATAATAATAGGATTTATGTATGTGTTCCAGTCCATGGATACGTTCTGTCCGATCGGACCGTGTATCACGACAAGTGATGAGATCGGCGATCCGCAGAATCTGGACATAAAGTGTAGTGTGAACGGCGTTTTGAAACAAACAAGTAACACTAAACAATTGGTACACAAAATACCTGATGTCATCGAGAGATTGAGTTCGTGAGTATATTTTTAACCAAATTCAAAATTAAAAGGTTATATGTGTTTGTATGTGTGTTTAATACTACAATAGCTCTTAAACGACCGTATGAGTGGGTCACATACATTGTATTGTCTTATATTATTTTTTTATAATAAATATGTGTAAGTGCGACTCGCACTTGACTGATTTAATAATTAACCTTATATAAAGAATACAGTAATACTTTTTTTTATTTTGGTTAAACATATTTAGGTTTACCGTTGAATGTTTTAATCTCATATAATGGTAGGGGAGCCCACGAAGCTAAATGGGGATTTACTCGAGCGTCGTAGAGACCTATTGGGATGCAAAGCTTAGATGATAAGAAGAAAAAAATGTTATATGATATATACCTTTACATCGGTGGGGGAAGCGTCTATAGATTTTTAAATATGTAAAAAAAAACTGTTGCATAGACATCCTCGAGCGCGTCAGATATTGATAGCATAAATGCCCTACGTATTTTTAATAATGTACGTATGTTAATCTGATCGTTTGCATGATGCGGCTGGTTGTATTTAAGGGTTGAAAATGAAAAAAAAAAAATTTAATCGAGCGCGTCAGATTTTCTAAGGGAGTGTTAAGTGCACCAAAAAAAAGCTCTCATTCACTAATCTGACGATTTCGATGGGACGCAAACTCGCGGCCATTTTCATAATGTGCAAAAAAAAATCGCCATTTTGAAATACTCAAGCGCGTCAGATTAAGATATATATGGTTCATCTTTATGTTCTAAACGTACTGTCTCATAATCTGACGATTATCTAGAGGGATTCGCCTGATCTGACAAAAAAAAATTAGAAAAACGGTTCACCTTAAAGGCCATACCTGCAACTTCCCGCTAATTCCATTCCTGTGCGCTTAAAATTGTACTTATGGCATTTTTGAGCTTAAAATATAATTTATGTGATATTTTGAGCTCGCAGAGTTCAAAGAAATAATATTTCTATGCATTTGAGCTCTCCCAGCTCGAAAGTCTGATAGAAGTTTCATAGAACACTATTTTTGGAATTTTCAAATTGCAATAACTTTTGAATAATTCGAAAATTCGAATTATTCGAAAGTTCCCGAATAATTCGAAAAATTTCGAATAATTCGAACATATATTGCAAATTTAAAAAATGAGCAATTGTTTTCTCTGGGTAATTTATTTTTAAACGAAAAGTATATTATTCGTAAGTAGACTATTTTGACACACGATTTGAAGGAATTTAAATGGATACAATTGAAGATCCAGAGATATTTCATTAATTCGCGAATTATTCGAAAACTTTCGAATTATTCGAAATTTTTACGAATTATTCGAAATTTTTCGAATTTCGAACAAATATTGATATTCGATTCGATTCGAACGATGTTCGCACACCCCTAGACTCTTTATGATCAGCTGTGATGGTGTCATGGCGGCAGAAACCAGAGTGGGGACGGAGTGAGAGAGTAATAGATAGAGAAAGAGTGAGAGAGGAATAGAAACGCGGAGAAGGAAATGTAGCCATCACGCAGCTGCACGCATTTAACTTTATCGACGAATTTTTGTTATTTCGGCTTGCGGAAATCGTCAGATTATATATTTTTCATTATGCTTGCATTATTTCCTTCAAAATAAAAAAAATTTAGCTACGCTCGAGAATGTCGAAATGACGTTTTTTTTTACAACTTTGTTGCCCTCCCCTTTTTTTACGTCACTCTCAAATTGTCAGATTAGTGGAATATACACTTTTTAGGATGTAATTAACTCACCCTACCTTAATCTGACGCGCTCGAGAATTTCTGGTGGTCAATTTTTTTTTACTAATCTGATCCTGTATCCTTCACGGGCGGCCTTATATATGGGCCTCATGTTTTGTGGAGGTACTTAACCGGGTACAAAGTATCCCCCTGTATATTAATCTGCCGCGCTCGAGTAACTACAGAAAATCCCCTCTTCGGCTCCCCTACTATAACCAATAATATCGAAAGGAAATTCTCAAAAAAACCCAATAATGTTCATATAAATTACAAAATTTTCATTACAGCTTTTTTTTTATTTTAACATTTTGTTAACTTTTTCCAGGGTAATGACGCTATTGCCCGGGGATATAATCCTTACAGGTACACCCGGGGGCGTTGGGATGTATCGCTCTCCGCCGGAATATCTGAAACCAGGCGATGTTGTTCACAGCGAAATTCAAAATATTGGTGTCTTAGAAACTAAAGTTGAGAAATTCTAAGCTAAAATGTTAAGAGAAAAAGAAATATTTCAATAATTTGTATTATATTTTATTATAACATGTATATTGTATAAATATTAAAAAAAAATATTGTTTAAAAATGTTTTTTGTTTTTATTCCGAAATATGACATAACTGTAACAACTACTAGACCCTTCGCGCACTAGACTTTCTTTCGATACATAGTTTAGTAACATTCAAAATCAGAATAAAATAAAACATAAAACTAGAGAAAGACAGCTATCCTAGGTACCTTTTTTATTTTTAACGTTAAGTAAGGTATACATGTTTTCGCGTGGGAATGAGATGTTTTCTTGAAAGAGAAGCTCATGTCACTCTCCAGCCCTCCATTTATCCCTATACAAAAAATCCTAACAAGAAGAGACAAACAAACACGCTTTTAAACAAATAATATTAATATAAATGATATCGGATCGATATATGAGTGTACTAGCTGCTCAACCTCGCTTTGCTCGGGTTCACCTCTAGAAAAACAAACAAATCTATCCCACGGGAACGGTACATTTTTCAGGAAGAAAAAGTAGCCTATGTGTTATTCTGACGTGTGAGCTATATTCAGTAGTTTTTGCGTCAAAGAGTAACAAACATCTATAGATACATCCAGATATCCATAAATCCTCACAAACTTTCACATTTATAATATTAGTAGGATTTACACACTGAATATGAACCCCATTAAGTTTAATAAAAATTCCAAACAATGTGTTATTAAGGTGTGCTTCTATAAAAATGTCCAAGTACTTACGCATTAAATTAGGGTTTTTATATAACATCTAAGTTATAAACTAGAATCGGGACCAAGATGTTGAAAGTTAAAACGCAAAAAAAGACTGGTGTTTACTGGAGCATTTAAAAAAATGCACGCCATCTGAAAATGCACAAAGAGTAATAACTTAGTATGAATACTACAATTTAGAGAAAAAAATAGACGAGAATAGAAAAAATATTTATTACACATGCTATAAAACGAATGAGTAATCAAAAAAGCAAGAAAGGTTCAAAAATATTACTGTTGTTTGAGCGGGCATCAGATAAGGAAACAGATTACACAGCTTTTCCTGAAATAAAAATAAGTAAATAATTTTTATTCCTTACTTAACTGATCGAACCTAATGTATTATTAGTAAATCATTTATATCCTTACAAAAATATGTATCTTGGTGTGCAAGTTGGACTCGCACTTGACTGATTCTTATAGACAAAAGATGATAATAGCTACTTACTCTTTTTATTTAGTTGCGAACAAGAACATTAATGTAACGGTGATATATCGGTGAAAAATACCTAAAAAATTAATATCATAAACTTACATTTATATTATTAAAGTTTTCACATATTTTTTTAATTTATTTAAAGATTTTTAAGAACAAGTTCTAATTTTTTCGGGGTAATAACATTATTACCTGGAGAATTAATCGTAGACACTATGTACTTATTGCTTTCCGCCGGTATATCTGAAAGCAGAAGATATTATTCACAATAAAATTTAAAAAAGTCTAGTCTAAACAAAAGCATAGGAGAAATTGTGACCGACTTCGATCAGACTAGTCCCAAAGTAATTTTTTATCAATAGTCCATCAAGCTGGCCAAGTGCGGGATGACGGACTCCACATGTCTTTTGATAACTTGATAGGCTCTCTCAGACATGCAGGTTTCCTCACGATGTTTTCCTCTGAAGTAGATACTTACCAGGATAAAAAAGGCTATGTCACTCTCTGGTATATAGAGTATCTCAATACAAAAAAATCACATTGATTGCTGTGAAAGAAGGTCGAAAGTCAATTAATATTTTTTTTGCATTTGGTAATAGGTATTTAATAACGAAACCAAGGATAACACTTTTAGACTTCAAAAATAAAGAAGCAAATTCGAATGTATTTTACATTTACGTTACGCGATATATTCGCTTGATAGGTACCATCAACTGTGGTCGTTTATTAATTTCCAAAGAAGTTTTCGCTAAGGGTAGAATAATTACAACTCTTTGAAGTGATTTTGAACGAGTGATTTTTTGTGGGACGACCACTCGACACGACCAGTGAGAGTTAAGGCGCAGGACCAACAGCTTTACCTACGTGCTCTCCGAGGCACGGGTGAAACACCACCAACATCCCAACTCCGGGCTATTACTGAGACTTTTTAAATAGAAAGACTCAATAACTATACTTGACCCGACCCGGGACTCGAACTCAGGGCCTTCTGATGTGCAGCCGTACGTGCGAGCCTCTGCACCACCGAAGTAGTGAGAGTAAATGGTAGGTATTACCATACCTGACTGAATCCTCTCTCTCTTGTCCTGAATCCAATGAAATATCTTGAAATTATCTCTTTAACAGTCTATCTTACTATATTTTTTTCAGGTCATATCATAATTATATTTATTTATATAAAAAGTAATTATGTTTAACGGCATATTTTCATTCCGACTATAAGATTTAATTGTTATCTAGAATTTATAGTTTTCAAGAAAATTCTGTCCAGATTTTTGTAATGCAGGATCAAATAATTAAATGAAATAAAATATACATTTATTTAATAATTTCAATCATAAATAAGTTTTGTAATTGTTGATTAGTAAATTACTAATCTATATAAATAAAAATGAATGTTGGTAAGCGCATAACTCAAGAATGGCTGGACCAATTCGGCTAAGTTTTTTTTTCGTATGTTCTTTAAGGTCCACGGAAGGTTTTAATAAATAGAAAAAATGAAAAATTAACGAAAAATAGAATTTATATGGCTAACACTGGCTAATAACTATTTAATCTATTTAAAACGTACCTAACGACGAACCCGAGCGAAGCGAGGATGAGCTTAAATAAAACCATATTTGATTACATATATGTATGTATGTAAAAAATATGAAAAGCCAGTTATATTAGATAATCAAGATTCAGAATTGGTATCGTGTTGTGCAACTATCATAGTATCTTGTCGCTGATTGGAGAATAGCCCACTCAATTGAGCCAATCGCCGTCTTCCGTTGGCTACAGGAAGAACCGTTTAAGACCTCCCTTTCATACTCTATTAAATTTAATATCAAGGGGACTTTTATTAACATAAGTGATACGGGCGACCAGTACCCCTCGACCCCTCGCGCTTTCACAACTAATATGACAAAGAGATCATGATAAAACGGTTTCGCATCTACCCGCAGATTCTAAATTTGTCTATTCTCGGCGGATGTTTGTCGTTGTGAATAGATTTCAAGCAATTTTGTTATTGAGATCCATTGGTGCAATTTGTGTATTGTGCAAGTGATTTGTGCATTCATATATCAATTGCCCAAGAGGACCCCTTGAAGTGATTTAAGCCTATTCAGAAAAAATTTGTGGATGTTAGCACGTAATCACCCTTGTTGATAATAAAATTTTATTGCTATCCAAGGACTAGATTAACACTAATATTGAATCATCAACAAGAGAATAGCATATACGAGTCATAGTTACAGGCTACAACACACTAATTTACATATTTATTTTTAAGGTAGAAGCAAAATGTAAATTAGGTTGTGACTTTTCTTAGAAATATTGGATAATTATTTATGTATTTCTATTTCTTTTTACTATAAATATTAAATTGAAAATTTAACTTAGTAAAAATACTTATTATAAATTATAAAAATAATAAACCCGACTGCGTAAAAAAAAGTCTAAAAAAAAGATGGAAACAAGTTGTAGAAATAACATAGTACCTATTCTGTAGTCGGAGATATACACCTAGTAAAATTCGCAGCAAGTAACATAGTAACACATTACCTATGTCTTTTTTTGCTTTACGCAGACGCTTTTTTTTAAATTTTTATAATATATTTTTTCTTTACAGCTTTTTAGTTAGCATTTGGAGTTTTATTTATTATTTCTTATCCCAAATTACTTTTAAACATATAGGTTGCTTATATATTTTTATGATTACCTCTTAAAAACCTTCATTTTGATACACCACTCAGACTTAAAAGAAAAAAAACAAGACACAAATTACGAGGGAATATAGGGTGTATATAAGTGATACAAACATACAGCTCAAACACGTAACTCTCTTTGGCTTCGCCGCAGTTGGATAATAAAATACAGACTTGGTGCCCCGCAGGTGACAGGAGATATATCGTTTTCTTGAAAATAAAAATAACAATTTTTAAACATATTATAAAGATTATTTTAGTTACACTGAAAGTGAAGTAGTCTTGTTTGAAATAATATATAAAAAAATACCTATTGTCATGTCATACATTATGTATTTCAAAATCAGGTGCAAATAGCCATGGCCAGTAATAAGATTCTATTCAATCTGTTATTCCGAGACACTATGTGAAGCACAGAGCTGAAACATTTCAATAGATAAAGAAAACGTTATATTATCCTGATTATAGTATCAGTAGCCTGCGTTACTAACATTCGCCAATTGCACAAGAAAATTATTTATAGTTTATAAATATATCTGTAAACACAAATTCACTCTCAAAGTCCATTGGGGTGACAATTCGATACGATTGGTAGAAGAGAAGAAAGAATAGCAGTTTAACGTATTCTGCTTGAACATGAGGATGGAACTTTTAGCAGAAAAGTGCAATTTGGCCCAACTTGTGGCTTAAACCAAGGACCTCAAGATTTATAGCCCAACGTGCTTGTAATTGGACCAATGCTGCTGTAGAAAATTGTCATAAAATCGGCAACTCATACAATATAATAATAATTCATACAAAATAATCAAATCAACATACTTCTGTCAGTTGCAATATCCCCAAACACTGCCTGTACAATGTGTGCTATTCTACACGAAAGTATTAGACTAATATAATTTTATTTTATGAAAAAAAAAGATTACTACAGGAAGAAATAAATGTCAACAAACAATCAATGCTATAAATACTTATACACAAATATTATACTGATACAAAAATATGTATACACTATAGGTACTTTAAAACATAATTTATTTATTATAGAAGTAGTAGCGACTTACCCTCGCTTCACTCAC